AATTTGGTCGATAGCCGTGAAGATTGAAAAATTTTAACCGTTAGGCGTAAATAGGGTAAAAAAGAGTTAACCGTAAAAGAAATTGTTCCCTAGCTTTGTTAATTTTAAGGAAGGTGCAGCTGCTAAACTCACTTATGGTTGCGTTATTTATTTCCCGGCTATTTTGACTCCGTACAGACCTAAACTCCATTTCCGCCGCTCTCTCGGGGAACTAATTTTTTCCACAGTGAAAATCTCTCTTCTTGCTGGGGATTAAAATTTGCGATTTTCAGGAGGTCGTTCCGTCGAAATACTAGTAAAATAACACCTAGAGATGTCACTGTTTGTAAAACACGCAGCCGATAAACAACAATTCCCTGTTTTTCTCTGACGCTAACGTAGACATTGCCATGCCTCGTCCCTGTTCGGCGTCTTCCCACGCAATCTCTCGGTGAAGGCATTTCGGTGGCGTATCTGAGAAAAAAACTCGCTCGGACCACGTGACCCGAAACGCGTTAGACGCGCGGAATAATGAGGCCTATGGACAAGGCAACGGCAGACAGTCTTTCTGTACAGTCCTTCGCTATCATTAAAAACATTGGACACGGGAATTTTGTTATTGGTCGTTTTCAAACTAGAACTAGAAATGGATTATCCGTCTGAGAATGGCCTGTGCACAGTCGCCCCCTCCCCCACCGAAACCCCTTCTCCGATTTTTTTTCTGAGGGGAGGGGGCGGTTGTACACAGGCTTTTTGAAACGGATAATCTATCTTCAAACTGTCCGTCAAAATTAACGGATAAAGTCAGGCGGATTGTTCATTCAAAATTAAAACCCTTTCCATTTCAAATTAAGACGCATTACCTATCTGACGCGAATTATCAAACAGATAACCAATCTCACACGAATAATCCGTCTCTAGTGTGAAAACGGCCATTTCTGTTATAATGAATGCCGCCGCCCCGCCCCTCGCCCCTGCCTGGAGTTGGGCGTTCGAGTGTCTGCTTTTGCTTTTTCACAAAGATTATTTTTAAATTGACTATTGACATTTCTATGCGTAAAATGATATTAAAAATGGAATTCTTTATAAATAGTATGATCTATCAAAAGTTAAAAATTTCAAAAGAATAACTTCATTTTATCCCGAGATGATAAGACCTTTATTTGCTTTGAAGATACCAATAATACTGGTTTATTAATATTCAACTCTGTGAAACAAAAGAAATCAATTTTTAACTTTTTGTCAACCGTAACTGAGAAAAATTAACCGATAGCCGTAAAAGAGCCAAAACGTTAGCCGATAACCGTAAAGGCCACCACTCCATTGAGACCCTCTTATAATTCTTGCTGTTCCCAGTAAACAAGCTTTTTGCCTGGCAGAATACTTCCGTCGAGTCCTGCTTTCTTTAGATAAAGATGGAATCTTTTACTGACTGTTTCTAGGGCACCAGTGATGATCGGTACAAGCACAAATTCTTTATTCCACAGACGCTTCAGCTCTCTTTTTAAGTATATTATTAATTTTCGATTTTTTCCTGTTCTTTAAGATTAACTCGATGGTCAAATAGGCAAGCGATGTCTTTTATTGTTCAACTTCTTTCCTTCTTGTTATTATTATTCATTATTATTATTATCATTATTATTATTGTTATTATTACCATATTAACTTTTTTGTTGATTTTTGCAGGCAAAGTATTACAAAAAAGGTTTAAATCCATGTCCTTCCTTGTCATCCGTTGCAAAAGACGACTGGAAACAGTTTGAATGAAGGGTTACAAATCCAGTTAAGTTTTCCGATTTCATGCACACAATAGAGTCGTTTGAAGATTACGTTGACCCTATCCAAGAGGCGATCGACGACTTACTTCTCCCAACACTATTCGGTCAAGCGGAGCCCCTCCCTAGTGAACTGCGTCAGCTCGTTACGTTGACACCCGCTCAAGGAGGGCTAGGCGTACCCGACTTACGGTCTGAAGCTCCAAAGCAGTTTGCTGCTTCTAAGTACGTCAATAACAGCACCGCACGTAGATTCTATTACCACACAGAGCATGTTCATGGTGGCAGGCGAGAATTCCACGGACGAGTTACAAAGACAACATCAAGCCTTGAAAACTGCGTCGGTGAAATCGAGAATGGAAAGTATTGATTTCACTCTACCCTCGGAACTGCTGCGGTCAGTTAACCAATCGATCGAGAGACAAGGGTGCGAGCTCATGCCTTACCACAGTGCCTCTTGTCGATCAAGATTTAGTGCTGAATAAACAATAATTCAGAGACGCTCTCCGTTGAAGGTATAATATGTCCTTGTCCGAATTACCATGCAAGGGTGTTTGGGGGTTGGAAGTATACCGCCCGGAGGCAAGACTGGTCTTGAAGGCGGTGGGGTTTTGGTCTCGTGGAGTGACAGCATTTTTTGATGTTAGAGTAACGCATGTTAACTCCAAGTGTAACCAGGGAAAGGCAACATCCACAATCTTTAAGGAGCAGGAGGAGAAAAAGCGGAAGTACCAACAGAGGGTGCTGGACGTTGAAATGGGATCTTTCACTCCCCTAGTTTTTGGAACCAACGGTGGGATGGGAGCCGACTGCAACTGCTTTTTCAACCGCCTAGCCGAGAGGCTCTCAGAAAAAAATGAGGAACCTTATCACATTGAGATTTTAAGGTCGGTACGTACCTGCGTAAGAGGTTCCAGGACACCCTTCCATAAAATTCCACTAGGGGATTTCATTGATGACTGCCGCTCAAACGCTAGCCAAGCGTGTGTCCGCTAATTTTAGAAAGTGATAATGGCGTGAGCTTGTAAATTATTATTTTAGGTTCTTTTTAATTTTTTTATTTCATCAAAATTTAAGTCTATGATAGTGAAATGTAAATTAGTCATATATTAATAAAGATTTTTGCTTAGCTTTCTGATTGAACGGCCTGAATATAATCTTGCATAACAAAAATGGACCATTAATTTTGGAATTAAGAATGTACGTTCTGTTTCAGTGCTTTTAGATTTAAATTTTAAATTACTTTTCTTAACAGCTGTAAATTTTTCCTTTTTGTTTTAGCCTTTTTTTAGCTTTAGGTTGTAGTTTTAGATTTAATTTTGAAACATTTTTGAATAGTTGTATTTTTTTTAACCTTTTCTAGCTCTAGGGTTTAGTCTTAGTCTTTAATAACATTGGCTGTAAATTTTGTTTTTCCAGCCTATTTAATACTTAGTTAGAGTCTATTTGTAAACCATTTTTATATTGTAAGGCAGGTTTTTATCTCTGGGAAGCACTATGGGGCATTATTTTTATGGATATAGTGCTATATAAGTAAATATATAACAATTATTATTCATTCAAGATATTTCATCGGTTCTGATTGGCTAAAAGCACACGCATAATTCACCATAACCAGTTTCTGATGACCAAATTTGGAAGAATTTTGTGTTCAACGAGGAAATGACGTCAAAAATGCAGCGTTCTTGAAGGTTAATACACCGTTAACCGAGAAGACCCGGGGACGAGGTTGAGTTGTTTTGGTTGTGAAAACAAAAAATGGCGGACATTTCACTCGTATCAAGAGTAAGAACTAGGCGAAATTACAGCTGAAAACATGGCAAAAACAGCAACAACACAACTCGAAAGGCGACATCTGCTATTTGGAGAATATTTGCGGAGTTGAACAACCCTAAACGTGCACTATCGGAGGTGAACTTAACATCGATGGAGGTTAGCATGTTTTAGCTTTGTTTTTAAACAAATAATTATTTTGAATGAATGATAAAACAATTATTGAATTCGGCTTTCTTATCATATGAAGAATTAAGGAGATCTCGGAGGGTGTTATCCGCCTCGGCCTACGGCCTAACACCCTCCTCGATCTCCATAATTCTTCATAAAATACTCAGTCTCATTCGTTAATTGTTAATTATTCACCGAAGTGGAGGTGGCTATAGTGGTGTGGTAATTACCGAGGCCGCGAAGCGGCGAAGTAAATATACGCTATTTGCTTAAAAAAAGCTTTTTTTCTCTCATCTATTGAATTAATTTGATAATAATAATAATAATAATAATAATAATATTTAGTATGTACTAAAACAGTGAGATAATTGAGCACAAAAATATGATTTTTAACTCATTTACTGTTGCCAACGATTACATTTTGGCGCGCAATGACCGAACGGCCGCGGTCGTCGCTTTTTCTTGCCGACAAATAAAACTTTTGAAGGCATTTGTTTAGCTCTTGCGGGGAAATTTCTACAAAAGGAGTTGTGAATTCTTTTTGTATTTTAAATCGTTTTGTGAAAAAGATTATTAAATGTAGTTTTAAGCTCATTTATGAACAAGTCAACTAAATAAAGTAACGCAAGACTTAGCGTAATTTGCATTTGGTAATAGAAAACTTTTTCACCGGTTTTATCGATAAATTCAAGTCAAAATGACAAAGCTTTACCTGTTAAAACTTCCTCACCGAATTTCCTCACCTTCTTCGTGTATTTCGGGAACAGCTTGCTTGAGTAGTTGTGAAATTTTCTGGTTAATGTTACGGCAGCAAACCGGGAAGGCATTTTGCTCGCAACTTACGCGAGTTTGGCGTCGCTTGCTCGGAGGAAGTAGAGGTGAATCAGTGAATAGTGCAGGATATTCATTGATTAAGTAGCCAATAAGAGCGCGCGAAAAACACTATCCACCGTTTTAGTATACACTAATTATTATTATTATTATTATTATTATTATTAATTCAATAGACGCGAGAAAAAGCTTTTTTAAGCACATAGCGTCAGTGCGTCACATAACCCCATTAAGTAAAGTTAAAATAATTAATTAGTGAAGGACACATCGTTTTCACGGTATTTAGAGCAACCACAGCTTGGAATTGGGTGGCAATTATCATTACTGTGCTTGAAGTTATAGTGAACACAATAAGAATACCACAAGCCCTTAAACGTTACTCTCGTTGACCGTCTGTCAAGAGGCCACTTGGTCTAAAGGTAAATGAAATAAGGATAATTTCACTGACTTTAAGTCAACAACAAGCACATTTTAGAGTACACCAAAATGTGACTTAGTTTTACCTGTTTCTTGCTCGCAAATATAATCTCTTGAAACTCCTTTACTGCCGCTGAATGTCCCATGAGAACCCTTGGGAAAGTTCTTATGAATGATCACATAAAGGTCCCTAGTGTCAGGTTCACGTTCTTGCCACTTGTTTAAAGTTAGAGGTTTACCATTGACCCAGGTCCAGTTTCCACTCGCATTAAATAAACCTATGTGCCACTCATTATATTTTGTATTTAGCTTCCCAATTTCGTCGGTAATAAATTGCCATTCTCTCTCAGTCTCCATGACAACCAGGTGTTTATTTGTAGCCTCACAAAATTCTTGTGCTCTTTCCCAGTACAATCTTCCGCTGGTCAGTTCACCTTCAAAAGTGTAACAAGAACAAGCCTTCTGTCCCTCTAAGCAAAGGCAAAAAAATGATATGTCGATTATAAAAGCACCTGATATAGTGTGTTAGACAAAGCACATACACATAGTATTGCTTCGTTGCATTCCTTATAACAGGAGACTGACCATTAAAAAGTGATGGTCCCCAGCAATCGGGCAGGAAAAAGAATTATTGCGAGCCAAACCCAAACCAACCCCTATCACTTTTCTAATTTGTCCCTCCCTAAACCTTATGATGTGTGTGTTGTTGGCACAAGAGACATGACGGAGCTTGTTTAACGTAGTACAGTGGTCAATTTAATAAAACGTTTACAAAGTGTAATAAGTGTAGCCATTGGTTTAGAATCTGAAGCAATAGGTACACTTGCGAAGAAGTTGTATTAAATTGATCCCAGGCCGCCGGGGAGTGAGGCCAGTTACACTGGAAAGAAATAGGCTTCGAGAAACTGGTCGGTATGATGAGAAATATCTGAATGTATGTACGAATCACTAAGGATAAAAGTTGACATAGAATCTGAATTTAATGCGTGAAACAAATCATATATGTGAAATTCCAATGATAGAAGATGTATGGAAGTGGGTGAATCCTCACAGTTGAAGGAACAACCTAAGCCGTTTAAAAAGAACCTGACCTGAAGGAAAAAGAAACGGGACGCGAATAATGACAATTGCTATGACCGGACGCAACGCTCTTTGCAATAGGCCACTTTCGATAAATTAAAATTCAACATTCAAATGACGAGTATTAGATAAATTAGAGGAGACACACAGAAAAGGGAAATGAATAAACATGCTTATTCATTTTCTGTGTTTGTGTCCTCTCAGTACAGAATTTGAATCTATTGAAAGTGGCCTATTGAGCTGTTCAAGTGAGTCCGTTATATTATATACCCGTTGCTTTGATTGTTTACGTTTAAAACTAATGAACTACGAGGATATGTCTTGTTTCACATTTCCATTGCCACATTCGGTTGTATCACGGATTCACAGTTGGCCTGCTCTCTTTTAATAACCTGTGTAGTACATCAGTCCTCAAAAAGTTACACTTCCGGCGTGACGTAAACGCGTATTTAGTTGGCGTCGAAAGGAGTGATAAAATGACTTTAAAATTAAGCTTTCGTTTGGGCCGGAATTTTCGAAATTTCGGGCTGGATGCGTAAGCAACGTCAAATGTACCTTTCAAGACTTTCAACAACAGCTTTGATTCCTTTCTTACATAACTTCCCTCGGGAACAAAATATACGTACACTTTGCATGACATTGTGTTGCGTGACTATGTTCGCCCACCACGATTCCCTTGTTCATCTAAGAATTTAGAAAATCACGAAAAAACATTGACGCCCTCCTCTCGTTGTGGCAAATACATTAAGACTTTTAAACGGCAAGGAAATAAACTATAGGCGAACGCCATCTTGGGAAATAAACTCTGAATGTTAACTATTCTTTGAATTTAAGTTCATTTTGTGGAGCACTTCCGTCTTCATGAAAGAAGTAGACAAATTCAAATTTGCGTGGATTGAAATAACCCTGTAGTATATCAAAACTGAATTATTTTCGGTTACCTAATGTATTACGACGCATAAATGTACCTCTTGTAAGGTAATTTGCAAGCGAAAACGAGAAATGTAAACAGATAATGATCATGATCAAACAGGAGTTACAATAATAGCAAAGTTGACCTATAAAAGTGACTTCATATTAATTATTACATTTAAAAACTACTAAACACAGATCCTTACCTGTTTCGAAACGTAGTAGCCATAGAACAAGAGCTGTTAGCACATATGGCTTCGCTAAATACATCATCTAAATCGTGACTCCAACCCCAAAATGAAATCAGCAACAATGCTCCGCTCAATATTAAAATCAACCTTGAGGCATTCAACTTCCCGTCTGACAGAAAGTCACGTGTGACAAAATTCTACATACGGAATTCCAGTTATGTATCCTTGAAGAATATAGAAAAGGGGGCGTTCATAATTTATGGGGCTGGGGAGCAGTGGCGGGGGGGGGGGATGGGGGGGGAGGGTCAAGGGGGTCAAGGGGGTTGAGGCTTGGCGTGGGTTGGCCATCACCAATTTGGAGGTACCCTGCAAGCAGTGGTTTCTCCAGGCCGGACGCTACGCTACAAAGGGAGAGAAACCACTGCGAGCATCCGTCTGCTTCTTTGATCGAACCGCCGTCCAACGCTATGGACGAATAAATCAACTTTAAACATGTAAATCCTGTTTGAAAGCAAGTTTAGGCTCTCGCGCATTTGCTTACGCTTGCAATTGCTGCCTTAATGCGAGCCTGCTGTGGATATTCAGTATTTCTTTGGATTATTTATTCCTATCTACTTACTTTGTCAAATGTAGGCGAACCCAAATGGAGTTGAATTCCAAGAGACCATATCCAAGTTCAAGAGCGAAAAGAAGAATAAATTTCGTCGTTGCTTGTTTATGTTATCCATAAAACGCAAAATTAAGCATCTTTACGTCGTAGTCGTGCAAAAATGGCAAAGAAATGCAGAAATAAAAGCGTGATGCACGTGCAAAGTTGTTGCATGTTTTGCTTATTAAACCTATTGTTTTGTTGAAGTTTTCGTTGCCGTCTTGTCGTTGGACATTCTTAGTCATCACGTGGACGCGCATGCTCGATGGAAAAGGAAACGGTTGCTCGCAGTGGTTTCTTTCTCATCGAACTGTAGCGTCCAGACTGAATACTACAATAAATAAAGTTTAGAGCTAGGGGCTTGGAAGGAGTCGGCGGGGGGACGGGGGGGAGGAGGGGTCGGGGCCATTGAGAGACACCAGCTTACTACTATATGAGAAATCGAATTCAGATCTCTTCGGGTATTCGTAAGTGAATTTTTAACACAGTCAATCTCCTTTTATCAATACTGCTTTCAATGTACGTGCGTTCACTTGGGTTTCATTCAGTATCTTCTCATCACTTTCAAGTAACATTCTTGAACATTTTCTTGTGGGGCGGGAGAGTTGTGAATAATTTTGCCACTTAATGTTGAGTTATAGATGTGTTAATGTGTGACAACGTCCTTGATTTTGAATTGAAAAAGGAAATATATAAACTATATTTGATAACTGATGTAAAAAGACTGTCAAGCAAGTGAATATTGTTATGATCTTTGATATTAACAAAAATGAAACAAGATGAAGGTCTATGCATTTCTTGATTATTATTGTTAATAGCGTGACAGTGAAACCAGCAATTCAAGGGCTAAAAATTAGGCTGCGTAGTAGATCGAGAGACAAGGATATTTCTGATGTTTCAATTTCTTCCTGTTAATTCAGTAAATAAATCCAAATTTGTGTTTACTCCTCAGCTCACCGACTCAGCTGCAAAGTTTACTTAGACAGTAAAAAATCAGTATAAATTACAATTTATTTATCCTGTTCACAGTCCCTCACGTGGCCCTCTATTTCCTCTTCAAAGTCCGTGGAGTGCACGGTACAGGCTACAATTTATTTTGAAATATATTTTTGCCATTCAACGATCTAGAACTTGTTCGAATAAATGAAATTAACTAAAAAATAACTAAATGATCCACTAATATTAATTCTCTTATAAACCTCTAATGTCTTGGGGGACGAACTTTTTTTAATATATAATTAAACCAGGATAGATATATGAATAGATTTTTGACTTGCTCCCAGTCCCAAGGTAACAACACAGCACTCGTCCGCTAATCCATCCATCTACGCAGGCCGGATTTTCAGTGCCAGAAAATCACCCATTCGACGTGTATTGAGGAGAAGGCACTTGATTGACATATATGGGTGAGTCACTGCAGGCTCTCCAGTCGCATACTGCAAGAGAGGTGTAGGAGCCTTCTCCTGGTTTCTGAAAAAGTAACATTGAATCGAATGTTTATAGATTGAATGTTGGAGCATTATCAATGCTTAAACTTGATAATGATAATGATAGTAATCAGGATTGACGCAACCCAGATTTCCCTCCGCACAAGACAGCTAAGCTTATCCGAAAAGAAAACAACCCTTCCCCCCCCCTCCCCCTTGGACACCCACGCAGCACATCAACTTCGTTTTTTATCAACTGGGTAGATGGGCATAGTTTTCGACAGCCGAGCTACCTGCTACTTAACCGCCGTTTACTGCCTAAGTCGAAAACAAAATTCGCCGGTAACAGAGGCCAATCCATTTTCCATTGTCCCGTGAAGGTGACTAAAGTTTAACTTCACAAGCGTGCCAGGGGAAAAGACCTGCCATGTTCCTTGCTGCCGGCGGTACGGACGTGTTTGTTCTCATATGTCAGAGCAGTACCACAGGCAGTCCTGGGGTGGTCAACAGCTAGACATTTCATAGCACTAAGGCGACAAAGAGATTTCATAAACTCTTCAATTCTTCTGTGATCTATACTCATGTTCTTGAAAAGTCTGAAATCAAACGAGAGATGATTCAACTTACTGTTGACTGACGACGCAACGTGGCGTATCGACATTCCATCCTAACAGGTTGTACTGTTTCGTATTCACACCCTCCTTCTTCGTTTTCATCAGACACACCAGCCTGCCGTCTATGTCCGTCCTCCGCTGGATTCAACAATGATGTGTTCTTAACTTCAAGCTCAATCCTGGAGATGTACAATTAAATAAAAGTACTGAAATCAGGAACCAATCTGATGAATGTATATTTTATTAATTTTTTGGTCCATACAGGACGTCCAAATAATTCAATCCCGTCGTCGTAGTAGTGGTAACCTTTACAAAAGTGATGTTTATTGATTTTTTTGCCTTTTTTACATATAACTTATGAAGGGAAAAGAAGGTCTCAAGAAACCATGAAGGCTTATAGGTGAGACTCCCTCCTTGCATTAGATTTAGCTGTTACTATAGTTATTAATTAAATCAATACACTTATATAAATAAAGAACAGCATATAATAAAGTAATTTATAAACACAAAGAAAATATTAAGAGAAAGTTAATTATCTAATAATTAGTAATAAATTACATACGATTTATTGAGTATTCTGTAAAATAATTAAATATGAAGTGATCTAATACACTTAGCTCATTACAGTATTGAAAGTATCGCTGCTTCTATTATCCAGGAATTGCCAAAAACAAAAAAAAAAAAAGAAACCCCAAAACACTGAGATATATAATATAAAAATATGAGAATATGTACAGTTGTACTAAAATAAAACCATGTACAGACCTTTTTTCAGGCTTCTTGTAAAAGCTACTCTGAGTTTAGTTTCATATGTCTCAATGGAGAGACATGAAACGTAAAGGAGAGGTAAATGTGGAGAACAGTTTTTGAGAGTGTTTTCGTTTTTGTTTTTAAGATGGCCGCTATTCAAATTCAGAATGCTGTTTAACTGTAGTTGCAGATCCTCAGCAGCGCACGGTATTCGACATACATAACACAGACAAATCTCAAGGACGACAGAGGCGCTTGGTAACTACAAAATGTGTATGGTTACCGCAAAGTTCCATTTAATTATCTTGGATTTTTATGAGTTTTCGCTCCGGGTCGATAAGCAGCCTCTTTTGAATCTACCTTAAGTCACTTAGGGAATGAGTGGGGTGGGGAGGGATGATCCTTTCTTTAACACAACTCTTAGTGGCAGTCTTGTAACTGATTCAACATGATGTGTACTGAATCCGGTCACAAAAAAGCCTTAGAAAAAGACAAACTTTAAGGTGGGTTCGTTTTGGATTTTGAAGTTCGTTTTTTGAAGGATGGTTTGTCGGTGTAAATGGACATACAGACATTTTGCACTTAATTGTTATTCTGACAACTATGAAGTTCTTGCGGGGGTCAATTTAATAAAACTTTTACAAGTGTAATTTACAGTTGTACTAGCGGCCACAATTATAAATTACATTTTTAAAAATTTTGTTAAATTTGTCCCCGGGACTGTACTTTGGCAGGAGCTGTACCTTTCAGTAGTTTTATCCCTAATTGCAGCTGCTGCAAAAAGAAAGACAACAGAAAGGGGAAAAATAATAAAAAAAAGATTAAGATTATTCGTTCGCAGGCTATGTTCTACGCTAACTTCCGTCGGTGAATATAGCAGTAACCAATAAGAAGTCTTTTCTTGTCAATGTTCTCAAATCCCTTTTATTCCAGTTATGATAATTGTTATTCTCAGCGTGCAAGCACAATTTCAACGAAGACATATGAAAGAGCCCCGGTTGAATCTCTTCAGTGTAACCTAAAAGCTTATAGTTTTAAAATAGAAAGAACGGAAGAATTTTCTTAAGCTTAAAGAAATGTTCGGGCCCAGAATATTTTTAAACGGAAAAAAAGGAAATTAATCGTTTTCGGTGAGTTACGATATCGACGTTTAAATCAAAGGAATAATTAATTGTTGAGTCCCTTTTATGCATCATGGCAGAACACTAAATAGACTTCTCTTGTAAATAAACATGGTAGCTGTAGCGTGAGAAGAAATTTGATTTTGGCATCCATCAGTGTTCATTAACATCTTATCAAGTAGCAGAAAGGATCGGAATTAGCTTCTTCCTGTATAACCAATTAAAATTTTATCGTAGTTTCTTCAATGTTTTATGGTCTGACACTGCCGCTTTAGGGTCACAGTGCGAAAAGGGTAAAACCTCGCATTAACGCATACAACGCCTGCACTTACACTTTACGTGCACTTTATTCATTGCCCACTTCATCGAATCAGTGGGGCTGAATGTTGATGATCAAATTTAAAGTTACGTACGATATGCTAAAATCTGAGTTGGCTAATAAAAATTTAAATAAATAATTTTTCGGTTATTTATCTACCTTTTCTGATGCGTTTGGTGCGTCCTTCTACCACTAAAATCCCGACAGTGACAGCCAAAAAAGCAAGCAAGACTCCTTCTACCAAAACTGCTACCTTCCAGCAACTTAAACAGGTCGAGCTCTGCTGTGCTTCATCGGTGTCTTAAATGTTAAAAATAAAACATAAAGGTTTATTATAGAGAAACTTACAAATAAAGTTTCAGAGTACTAGTGTATCTAGTCTTGACAGTGAAGTTGAAAAGTGTAAATCGAAACCAGAAGTAACTTTCTTGTTGATTATTCTTAATTTTTTGTGTGAGTGCACCAATGAAAAAAAGAGAAAATTCCAAGCTCACAAGAACGGAGAAAAATGCTCTCTTCTGCTACTACTAACAGAAAAACTATATACCCAGACCAGTCAGCTGAAAGCCAATTATGCCGTCCATTTTCATACGGCACCCGCTAAAAAATCCAGGAAAATGACTGCGTAGTTTTGTTTTGGCACTTGTACGGCATTTTATATAAAGATTTGAAGTTGCAATTAACTTCCTTTGGAGAAAATTTCTTAAACAGGTTAGCCGAACTACTGGCTTATGGCAACAACATGCAGTTAAAATATGATTGCATCAGCAACGTGAACATTATTTGCTGCGCAAAATACACCATCATATTCTAAAATCGCCGAGGAACAGAAGACAAAGGACGGTAATTTAACATCTATGGAGGTTACCATGTTTCAGCTTGTTTTTAAACTAGGAATTATTTTGAATAAATAATAAAACCATAATTGGATTTGGCTTTCGCATGATCAGAAGAATTATGTAGATCACTCTTGATCTCTGTGTTATTCGCGCGCCTCCATTGGCCTTTGCGACTGGACAGATGACACGCTATTCGATGTGCTTAATTCTTTAGATCATAGCCAGCAGCCTCATCCAATAATTTCTAAATAACGTATAGCCCGAGTGGCTAAGCTGCGTGTAAAGGGGTGGGAGAGTGCCACGCAGGCAGAACATCGATACGTCTTTGGATTCTAAAGCACTGTTACACATACTTACCCGTGGTTGAGAGAGGAAGGATGACTGCAGCAGGCTCCCCGTAAACCAATTTCTGCAACGACCCCCCCCAACCCCCCCCCCCAAAAAAAGGCGTTAGGAGACAGCTCGTGACACTGACTTATTCTAAGCAATAAGCATAAACATATCCATCTACAGAGAGTTCATAAAAGAAGACACACCAAAGAGACAAAAACTGATTAAGCGGTAATGTCAGTTAATGGTTTACAAGTTTACAAATCTTGGCGGCACAATGTCAGTTTTTTCAGTCAGTTTTTATTTTTTATTTTCTTTTGGGGGGGTTATGTTTGGTCCGCAGTTTGCACTTGAGTACTTATGGTCTTTACTATTGGTCTAAAGAACACTTTTGCTCAGTTATGAGCATTATAATCTCAATTTCTCATTTCACAAGCCGTCGGTAACCAACACGCTCTTTTCAGGAGGCTAGTAAGACCAAAACTTTAGAGCGGTTTTCACTTGACTGTCGAAAGTAATTGAGGAATTGGTTTGGTTTTGGTTTTACTACGCCCTTTGGTTGGCTAGTGTATTTACTTTGGTTTTGGTTTTACGACAGTCAAGTGAAAATCGCTCTAATATGTTTATTCAAACATATGTCAGATGCTAAATCCCTATCCACTGAGAAACTCGCAACCTTTACATCTCTTCTATCTGGATAGTGTTGTAGTCATTTAAATAGAAAAAAGCGATTTTATCATTCTTCTTTTTTTTCATCACCCACGGCAAGTAAATGCATTATAAACAACTTGCCCAACAACGAGTCATTATCGGCCATAAAGAGTTTTGAAATTTGTTTTAAAAATGGCAGAATTTTGCTAGTTTTTCTGCATACCTCAGCAGTGTCAATAAAGATGCCTAATACATAAGACAGGACAGGTAATTGGATGAGGGGAGCAGGGGGAATTGTTACGAGTGTTCTCTTACCCCATTAACTTCAGTTGCTGCTCTAACATAAGCCTTGTAAACTGTCTTACGTGAAGGTTCCAGTGGAGCATTCAGATAGTCACCATAAATTTCTCCATCGCCAACAACAAATTTTCTAGGAACCTGTTCTTTATCTCGCTCAAATCTGGCGGCAATATAATATCGATCGCCATTGGCCATTGCCTCTTTGTAGCCAAGGATATTGTCTGGCAAAGAAGATGTTAAACAACTGCTGGCTATTTCGATCTTTTCTATTACAACCTCTTGTGCGCTGTAGAAAGAAACAATGATAAAGCTTTGCTTGGATGTTCACTGATTCCAGAAAAGGTTCGTGTTATAACTTCAGGTACGGTAATAAATATTTGTAGCAACAAGTGGATGAGTGGAAATTTTCTTTCATAGGACCAGATAAGTATAACAAAGACCTCTCCGGTATGACCGGGAAAAAACGCATGCGCACTTTCATATCACCCGACAGCGGCAGGCATGAACAACTGTATCTTCAGCATTCATTATACTGCGTATTATTTGGCCCAACGCAAACTTTCAGACCCAAAAGAATGCTTAAAGTCATAATCTTAAATCGCATAAAAGGAACTCCCAACAATGTTGCGAAACTGCAGCGCATCGTGGGAAGGATACAACCCATAAGATTTCTAGACGATGCGTAATGTGCGCGTGCGTGGTCCCAAAAATGTTCGAAGATCTGTGCAACGGATCCAACATCGTTGTGCTACGCTTTGGCGATCACGGAACCAAAGATATGTTGGTAGTCGTTGGCTTAAAAGTTTGACCGGTTTTAAACTTTGCTTAATATAACTACTCACAACAACACGCAACAGGGTGCGCAAACGGATCCAACATCTAACATCCAATAATGTTGCGTAGTTTGTATTTAATTGGGGGTTTTAGACAAGTGCAAAATAGCAAATTTATATGTTCTAAATTTAATTTGTCCTTGATTAAAAACTATTTTGTTGTAATTGATTTTAATGACATATTTTCATTTTATCTTTACTGATATGGACTCACACTACTCTGCCATTATTATCTGGAGACGACGTCAAATAGATCGTTATTGTACTAGATGTGACGTCACGACCATGGAGAACCTGTGGGGGTGGAGGTGCGGATGGAGCTGTAGGAAAAATATATTCCAAGCAAAAATTAAAATATATCATACTAACGCTGGTATAAGTGTAAGCGTAGCACAGCATAACACAGGGGCACCCAACGTCAAATTTCGAAAACTATCTGTTCGGAGGACGATTTAAGATCTAGAATTTTCGGAACATTTGTTGTAAAATTTCTTGCTTGCCTGCCTCTCCTAGGATTTTCGAACATCTAAAAAATGGTATAATTGCCCAATTTTACCCTAAAAAGGTCAGCCTTTTTTCTGGCTGAAATTTTCGAAAAGGTAAGTTTCGATCCCTATAATTTTCGGGTCACTAGACTTTTACCTAGGAAATCCGAACAGATGAAAACTTTTTAGTGGATAAAAATTTGCCTATATCTACCGTTTAAAAGCTAAAATACGATTAATAATGCTATGTTAAGTGGTTTTGAACTATATTCTCGTTGGGTGCCCCTGATAACAGGGATAAAATTGCTAGTTTACGACCTTATGTTTTTTACAAAGGGCTTTAAGCTTTTCATAGCAAGATTGTTTCTCTTGAAATTATCATGTCACTGAAAACGTCTCAAGGACGAAAGAGAAAGCTTTTTTTTAAATCTTATGCCCACCAGTACTCGAAATGAAGACTGTTCTTCTTTTCATCGACCAAGACGACTAGCTCGTCCAGTGCTACCATACTTAACAAAGATGTGTGCAAGAAGGAAATGAGTTCCGCAAAGGTAGATACTGACTCATTGGAAGCAGGTGCAGCTGATTGCAGTAATTGGACATGTCTCTTGTGGGTATGAGACATCAGCAGAGGCCGTGACACTGGAGACTCTGCAGCCAAACCACGCTGATTGTAATGCAAAGCTAATCATCAAACGGGAGGAGATAGCGTGGCCGAGTGGTCAGCGCGTTGGACTCACAATCTGGCGGTCCCGGGTTCGAATCCTGCTATGATCACGTGCTGGATTTTAGTCTGTTCCAAGCGTTCAGATAGTGGAGAGCGGTGCGAAGTAGAGAAAGCGATGAAAAGTAGAGGGGGACTGGGGAGAGACGCGCTCCTTTTTACTTCGCACCGCTCCCCACTATCTGAACGCCTGGAACAGGCTAGCTGGATTTGTTCTCGGTTTTCCCGAGTTCAAATCCGAGGCAACTCTTGTAAATAACCAACCGTTTTCCTCCTTCCAGTTGGGGTTTTTAATCCTGTTATGTTTTGTTTAAATTATTTGGTTCTAATTATTTGAGTGGAGTGCCTGTAAACTAGCTCAGGATAAGCTAGTAACCTATACTTTTTAAACCAATCAGGTCTAGAACGATGGTGTTGACTATTACCTTTTGCCAGTGTGCTCACTATAACAGTGTCACTTGGCGCACCTTCTCCTCTCTCAGTAAGAGCCGTCACATGTATAGTGTATTTTGTGCCAGGCGTCAATTTGTCCTCCTTAATAGACGTATACCGAGACGCTTTAGAATCCACCAGCAGTAAATCATCTTTGAAAGAGGTGTTATAAACCCTTCTTCCCTTGAAATACACCTAAACAGAAAAGGGTAAACAAAGCATTATATAAGATCAGTTTCTACCTGCATGTTTTACATAAAATTTGAAAAACGTTTTCAGAGGTCTTATCTTAGAATTAATACTATCGTTTGCATGATGGGAAAAATTCGAGGTACACTTCACTTACGGATTAAGACTTTATAGCAATGTCGGGTTAAGCAAGCTAGAAAACTTACGGCTGGTTTTCACTAGCGGGGGAGTCGGAGTCAGAAACGTAGCGCTTATGATCTAGTGAAAACAGCATTCCGATACCCCGTACGACTCCGTCGTTTACGTTCCGCTTATGATCTAGTGAAAACCAGATTGTCGGAGTCGGAAGCAGAAGCGGAAAACCTAAACTAATCACAAAGCGTGGGAACGTAGATTCTGATTGGTTTTTCCTTCCGCTTCTGCTTCCAAATCCGACTCCGACTCCGACTCGGTCGCTAGTGAAAACCAGCCTTATAGTCCTAATTATTAGTCCAGATCGAGGAGTAAATTGTTGGACTGCAATTTCAAACTGTCTTTTCTTGATCAAGACGTCGAGCTATTTTTGAATAAACAATTTTAATTGTTTATTCAATCTTCTCAAAGTTTGACGCAAGCAGAAATTTAATAGATCGGTACTAGATGATCTTGAACCCCTCTTCTATTTAGGTCTCCGAGAAACTATAATAAATCATACAGGTAGATCATGCACTCACTGCCTTCATCAAGGGTCAGTTTTAGTTTGTAGGGCCTCAGCAACACCCTCTCCTCTCCCCCGACAGTGACATTGTCATACTTAAATTTGTAACTGAGGATACTTAATGAAATTTTAATTGTAAACAAATTGCTGAGTGGTTAAATTAGTTTTTATGACAGCAATATCTATATCCTCAGGAAAGCTTATAGAGGCTTGAAGCGTGGTAGACGTGTCAGAGCTGCTGGCTTTAACTAGTGAGCGAGTCGGAAGAGCGCTTACACGATGACTCAGTGGTGAAAATCAGAAAAATGGAGTCATAAACGAATTCATAAGCTCACGGAATGTTTGCATCTTCTTTCGGCAAAATTTGTTTATCACTGACAGTTGCTTCAATAGTAATCCTCAAAAAAGCAGATTGTCAGGGTTAGAAAGAGGTGAGAGGCAAAAAAAAATTGTAATTCTAGTCCTCAAGCGTCGCGATTACTTTTATTCTTCAGTTTCTCCTTGTGACTTCGCAGTCTTATTTTCTATAGACTGTAAGCAAAAGAGACATTAAAGCAGATTCTGAATCAAAGATCGCCTCAGATTACAAGGCTAGCGCTTCCGATTACGACCCCGATTTCGTTTTTGGTGAAAACTGCATTGCCAACAGCATGTTCCGTTATCCGAAGAGCTACGGCTTCCTAAAGGGGTACTGAGACACATATGCATCTTAAGATAAGCCCATGATAATTATGAGAAGTTGATTCGGGGTCAGTTTGGGAGACAGTTAAACAGATAAAAAACATCTACACACATCGTCCACTTACATTGTATTTTACGATTTTCCCATTGGGATTAACTGGTTCTTCCCAGTACACTTTGATATTATCTTCCTCTAACTTGGCCCTGACATCCGCCGGCTTACCTGGCACTACAGAATAAAGAAAATTCACAAATAACAATTTGATGTAATAGTTTTATTCTGCTACATGCAGGTTTATTTAAGAATCTCGGTTCCACCAGAAGATTTTTAAAGAAGTATTGTTTTTTTTAACTTGTGCAGGTCTTGAAAAGGAGTAAAAAAATAGAATATTGACTTTCATAAACAAAAAAGCCTTCCAATCAAATAAAGAAGAAAATTGAAGCGTTGCAAAATAAGTTGCTGTACAAAAACAGATGTACCTCCTTCTAATGTCTTTGCTGTGAAGTAAACCATCTCTCCTGGCTCAATAGTTTTGGCTTGTATCGTGAAGGTAAAGTTTGTATATGGTTTAAGGTTGGATACGAGAAGGGTCTGTCCATTACTGCCTTCCTTAGTTACGATTTTGTCAAAAGCCTCTCGCCCAGATTTAGTGTCATAAACTCTGATATGGTAATGATTTCGAACGAAGCAGCCCTCGATATTTAATTAAATTTATTGCCAACTTCCGGGGAAGGAGTTAACACCAAAATCCACTCTGGGAGAAAGAGTGTCTATATACAAAATTAAATACAAGTACACTGTAACTACAACGAATAGTGCATTGGTCTTTCGCCATGGCGTACAAAAACGCACGAATATCTAAGAAGATAGCTTTAAAAGGGCAGGTACAAGGGTAAGGACAAAATTAATTCAAATTTACCTCCTTCCAATGTCTTTGCTGTGAAGTAAGCCATCTCTCCTAGCTCAATGGTTTTGGCTTGTATCGTGAAGTTAAAGTTTGTATATGGTTTAAGGTCGGACACCCGTAAGCTCTGTTCATTATTGCCTTCCTTAGGTACGGTTTTGTTATAAGCCTCTTGCCCAGATTTAGTTTCATAAACTCTGATATAGTAAGATCTTATGATTCCATTGGCATTAACAGGTTCTTCCCATGTAATGAGAATTTCTTTGTCTGATAAGACTTTGCCACTAAATTTTGTTGGGGCACTAGGACCTGTAGAAATGCAGAACAAAAATGAATAAATTGCAGGGGTGTAAACAACTAGTTGTCGTAGCACTGTTTTCAAACACCTGGCCTTCTGACCTTGGTGCCCCTATTCGGAGGGCTCACTGATATTTTTTAAGTCTCTTGCAATCTTATAGCATAGTGGCTGGGTGTGTTGAAAATCCCAACATTCCCACCAAAAGCAACATTTTGGTTCACATCCTCCATTTGAATCCGGAAACGAAAAAATGAAGAAGAGCCCGATTACATAGCTTCAATTTAAATGGTCAATCAACGATTGTCTGAATTAGAGAAACCCTAACGTGTTACCACAGCAACAGTGATCTCACCAAAGGTCGTATGTAGATGTCAGCAGTGTTCTCCCTAAATTTTAGCGCAGCAGGTAAGGGACCTTTTATGGCCAGTAAGGTAAAAGTATGCCCCAGAGGTACACTTTCCTGATGGCGGGAGGGGGGTAGTGGAGTGAGGGACATGGCCCCGCCCTAGAAGTAGCTAAGTTCTTTGAAACGTAATTCATTGTAAGACCTATTTTAAGCAAATTGGCAGTTGTTATCTTTAGACAACAATTTAAAACGTTTGATCCCAATAATTTTACTCTGTCTTCAATGTTCTCTTTCCAAAATGCGTGGCCCATAAAAAGAAAAGCTGTGTATACTTTAGAACGTTCCCATAATATATTCATTCACTTCCTTGATCGGATCGGATCACAACTTGCGTGTTTTTTAAAACTACTTATTTAACTTTAGTAAACTTTGAAGCGGTTGCACGCCGTAAGAAGTGTTGATTCAGTCTGTAAATGTATCGGTTACCACCTGAGAACGCTGCTGTCATACAGCAGAACAGGTAGGAATCAAAACTGCCACAGGAGACTGACTGGTGCTCTATCGCCTTAGCTGCCGGCTTTGCTCAATCAAGTGCCATAGAAACGCTATGCTACCGAGATTTTTAGGGAAGGCTTTCTGAAACGCGTTTTACAGCTGCGTCTGAACGTGTGCGTGAAAAACTCAGATTACGGTTACTCCAAGGTTCTTAAATAATACGCAGAACCATGACACTTAAATATTTACAAAGAATAGATAAATAAATAAGGCTGCTTGCAAACAGACGCAACAACTCCCAACATTGTTGCGTGCGTCTTGGCAGTGGTGTACAAACGGCTGCAACAACTTCCAACAATGTTGGAACCTGCAGTGCATCATAGGAAGGATACAACCCATAAGTCTTTGTAAACCATGCGTAATGTGCGTGCGTGGCCCCAACAATGTTGGAGGAGCTGTGCAAACGGATCCAACATTGTTGCGCTACGCTCCGGCGATCACGGAACAAAAAAAATGTTGGGAGTTGTTGGCTGAAAAGTGTGGCCGGTTTCAAACTTTGCGCAACAACACGCAACAACATCCAACAACATGCAACAGGGTGTGCAAACGGACGCAACATGTAACATCCAACAATGTTGCGTCCGTTTGCACGGGGCTTAACTACTTACGGTCCTCAGACGTTGTAGCATTTAATACTTCTGAAGCATTCCCTCTCTCGCTTGTTTTTCCCCTGACTTTGATGTAATAAGTTGTAAATTTTTCTAATCCAGTTAAGGTGAATTCAAATGTGCGGTCTGTAACGACTTTCTCAGTGGTTTGCTGATCAGGGTCTTTCCCGTATTCAATCAAATAGTTTTTTATGATTCCATTTGGTTCTGCTGGTGCGCTCCACTTTACCTCAATGGTTGTGGATGAAGAAGCTTCCACGACAACACCTAGTGGACGACTTGGACCTACAGTTTTAACTCCTTTGTTAGTAAATTTTACTATACTTCCACTGCCTTTCAACCAGTTTTAGTTCTGACTGGCTTACATACTCGCTAAAAGCAAATACACACATTTCATAACCAAAACTCAAGTCATTGTCATAAATACATCCCCAAATCACCTAGAACGGTTCCCAAATAATTGTAATACAAATGCAGATTACGAAAACATACTGGTGACAGATATTCGAATGGAAAAAATGTCGGACAAAATTTTCGTCCAATCATTTTCACTTATTCGTCGGAACGTTTTGGGATATTTACAATTTACTTGATAAAGAAACTACAGCAAAACTAAGCACCTGTTCAAAAGAAGCGAACATAATATAAGAGAATTAAATAAGATAAAAATAAAAAGAATTATACAACGCACACACATATAAATTGATAAAAGGCCATTATCTAAAAGACGCAGGTTCAAAAAAATTGCCTTCAAACTTAACTAAGGCGCTTCCTTGTCACAAACACCTTCATTTGGCTTTTCTGTTTGTTTGTTTTTGTTTCGTTGTATTTTTTATCTCCTTGTGGTTTGTGTCTTCAAAGTGATCAAACTTGGGGAACTATACCGCACCTGATTGTAACGTCTTCACTGTGGTACAGGGCGACCAACCCGAAGGTCCAATCTTAGTATAGCCCCGTACTCTAATACAGTAGCTTGTGTATGGCTTTAGTCCTTTGGTAACTGTATTTTTATCAGTTGTATTGAGGCTTAACTGTGTAGGTTGACCTTCCACTTTGTATGCCACTGTGTAAACGATTATGATACCATTTTGGTCCTTCTCGGCAATCTCTTCCCATGTGACTCTGATAGTGTGAGCATCTTCAGCTTCAGTTTTCGCTTGATCGATGACCGGGGGAGCACTTGGAACTGCACGTTTAATAGAAAAAGAAAAGAAAGAAAACAAGATGGTGTAGTCTACCTGTACATTTTTAATCACTTCACTGATCACAAAATCCAGGGTTACATTAACCTCACAAATGGACCAATGGTGACAGCCGGTGGCGCATTTGTATGCTGACGTCCCAGATTACTGTTCGAGAGTAAAGTAAGTAACATAACATAACAAAACATTCAAAGTTACAGGCCATACCATCTTCCAATGTCTTTGCATCAACTATTGCTGAGCGTTTTCCTGAAACAGAAGTTTCAGCAAATACTTGAACATAGTAGACTGTAAATTCTTCCAGCTCAGTTAGTTGATAACTGACTGCAGTGGGAGAATTCCTCCTTTCATTCAAATTGTCCCTGGCTGTTCCATACGTCACTACATAACGCTTGAGATTTCCATTTAATTTTTCTGGTGGTTTCCACGTGACCGAGATTGATTTTGATGAAAGCACATTGAGTTCCAAGTTCGTAACAGGGGACGGAGCTGCAAGGTTTACAAAAGAAAACAGAATTTTTAAGTACTACACAGTTTAATCAGTATTTATTATCAATACTGGTCCATCCTGCCTTTTGAATACAATACAAATATATCAATTGAGAGTGGATATTCCGCTATTTTCAAACTTTGTTGATATTTTCGCCTAAAGAATATTAGCTTTTTTTGAGATTGAGTGAATATGAGAATAAAAGTCGCCTATCTACTAAACGCCCCCGCTTGGAGCCCTAAAGTGGAATAGGCGCCCTATACATTTATTAGGTCATTTACGGTACGCACTTAGGGGATTTTCAAGACACGAGTTTAATATATTACATTTAGCCAGGGCTAAAAGCGAAGCTCTCGATAATATTTATAGTTTGCTCAAACAAAATATAGAATCATGTTATGCTAAGCGGCGAAGGCAACGAGAACGGTGAAAAAACAATAATAGGTCTAATTAGCAAAAAAGCAACTTTATACGAGCAGCACATTTTTTGGACATTTCGTTGCCCTTGTTTTGCACGCACTTCCAGAAACTTCCTAGTAACACTTCTTATGGAGGAAATGTCGAATGTAGTTCGAGTTCTTGTGCACTTTTTTTTCACTACCGCTCATTTTCACCTTGGTGGCCGCTAGCATTTCACATTTCTCACCGGCGCTACAAAATTTTCATGTTGTTCTTCCAACAAAAAAATGTCTCCTTGGTTGTTTTTCTCTCGCGCTAGCTTTCTGTCGCTCTCTTTCTCGTTAAGCGTCGCCGGCTTGTCGCCTACTTTCTCTTTTTCTCTGTCTTTCTCTTTCTCTACATTTCCATATTTGTGGACATGACAATTAGTGTAAGCTTAATACTTTACACAACACGGATACAGAAACAATTTCCCCTTTCCGTTTTCGTCTTTATTGACTCTTTAGTTGTCTCTGCTTCACAAGACGCGGGTGGCTATGCGATTTCCCGCCAAAATAAACACGAGTTGCATTTGGGTTGCCATACCTGTTGATAGAGTTATTTTACATTGGTATGTCTGCGGTGCTGACGGACGGCGGGCGGGCAGACGGGCGTAAGGTCACGTGATTAACAAAATTTCTCGGGTGGGTACATTACCACATTTTCTTGGGTATGGGACTGCTTTAAGGGACTAAGCTCTTGATCGCGCTTCGCGCGTGCGTGGAGCTCGGCTATCATTCAAAAGTCTTTGACTGGAAACGATTTCAACAAACAAGAAAGCAAGCAAGTTTTCATAAGCGAACGAGTAAATCAAGCTACAATGTAATTTCTATCAGCAGAGATATATATACCTTACGAGCATTTTCGCAGTGTGAGTGAAGTGCGTAGTAGTACTTTTCGCTCGGCAGCTCACACCCAGAAAATGTAGACTCTGCTTGCATGGTAGACGATTACAGAAATTACCCGAACTGGTACAATTAAATTCTGTGCTGATGTATGCCGTTTTAGTCAGAAAATTTAATAAAATAAATTAGACTAGGACGCGTGTGAAAAAATTGTCGAAACACCGAGAGTGTTTTTATCAACGCTGCGTACTGATCGACCTGACTCAGTGCATGGAATCTTGCGTTTCCTGCTTTACGTTTCACCTATTGTCTGTTTAATGTGTGAAAATCCTCAACATGAACGGTTAATTTCAAAGAGCTACACAAACACCAAGGACACAATACAGAGTGAGGGCAGTTGTAGAATCAACTATAACTAGTAAAATAATAAGACGCATATACATTGTACATGTATCTAAGCTTCTAAGATAACTAGTTGTTTGGTCGAGTCAATTTAAAACAACAAAATGCATCAGCAACCTTAAATGTGCCGTTTCCTAACCTCCTTCATTGGGCGTTTTTGTCTGTACCACAGTGGAATTGCCAATACCGACAGCAGTAAACCCAGCTACTCTAACAGAGTAACTTGCAAACTCAAGGTCTATAATTGTGTAATTGAGCTGATCTGGTCCAACAGTCCCATTTTGTTCATTCCCATGTCCCTCCTTCTTGTAGAAGACTTGGTAACCCAGCAGCTTTCCTTGTTGTTGCTTGACAGGTATGGCATCCCATGATGCAGTTAGTGAAAGAGGAGAACTGGAGCTTAAAATGAAGTTTGCTGGTGCAGAGGGTACTGAAATAGAACAAACTTACAGCCATTGCATGCATTCATACTGCAGTGTGTACATACATACATGCTTTATTTGATAAAGCACGTTGAGAGATGGCAGCATAAACTGATGTGGACCTGCTAAACTATGTTAAATAAATACATAATAATCTAAAATTACTAAATACACTAACTACAGCTGTATGCAAAAGACATGTCAAAATATTACAATACATACTATCTAAACTAGAAGAAAAAAGATACAACCCTTCCTGCTTTTTTTAAATGCAAATAACGCTATTCTTAAACTACAAATGTAATTTTTTTAAGCATAATTGTCATAACACAAAGGAGGTTTTTATTGACACAAGATCAACCTCAACCTCACTCAACGGCTGGGGCAATAAGCCCACAGCTGTAAAGTAATGGTCTATATTCTGAGATGTGATGTGACTGACAAGTGGAAATAGAACCTCAACTGCCTCAAGAATCATGCATCTTGATCAAAAGAAAATAACAAATAAGTATAACCATGTGCACAGAATTTAGTATTAAACTCACCTGATTCACTTGATTGTACTCTTAAAGGCTTAGACCAAGGGCCAATCCCCTCGTCATTGTAGGCTTGCACATGAATGTCATACCATGTGTATGGTGTAACAGCAAGTGATGCTGAATTGAAACTTAAAGGTGGAACAACTTTTTGCATTGAGCCAGATGTTCCATTTACTTCCTGCCATTTCACAGTGTAACCTTTTATGCCATCACCAATGTCAATAGGTGGATCCCATGTAATGTTGATCATGGATGATGAAACAGAAATCTGTTTCAGGGAAAGTGGTTGACCAGGAAGTCCTATAGTTGGATCTGCAGTGTATCAGGGTAAAACACAGTCAGATTGTTTGTTTACTTACAGGAACCAAAATAATGTTATGCAGATGTAACTGCAATATAATACTGACTGGGATAATAATAAGCATTATTCTAAATGTATCAGGCACATTATTTAGCATAATTTAAAGTATGAATATATTTTCAAAGAATTAAAAAAACATATATTTTTGTTCACTTGATTGTATGATCTACATAACAATTTTCAGATCATACATGTACATGTACTCAGCCTCATGATTGCTTAAATCGTGATTTAAAATATCAAAATTCCATTTCTTAGTTTCTATTCAGCTATTGTGTGATCTAAAGAATCATGCAGATCTTGGAGGATGTCATTTCTAATGTGAAGCGAGTGAGTTTATAATCTCCTTGTGTGCAAAGCGGGCGAGTTCGCGTGGGGCGCACATGGTCTTGCAAACTATGTTGGGCCATCAATGTATATTTGTTTGTTTAAATATACAATAATTGTATTGGTCATTTCCAGTTGGTATCTGCACCCAGTGTGATGCCACACAGTACAACTCTAATTATTACAATATTATTATACATTGTAGGAGATGGCGGAAGTTAGCTGTTATTTTAGCAAATCCCACCACATAATAGCCTGCAGTCATCCACTATCACACCTGCATTTCCTTTTGACATAAACTACACATGATTAAGGACGATCAAATAGGGTGAACACGACACCATCACCACTTTGCCTACACCGCCTTAATACAACAGCAACCCCATTTAAATCCCACACCCTATTTAAAGCCAGGGCACTCAGTTCAAACTCCAACCAAAAGGAGATTGCTTCCAATATTACAGCCGCCATTGAACCCACCCTCCCCAGTTACACTTTACGAGCCTCCCCTTGCGAAATGAATTCCCAGAGTTCTGGGAATTCCTAGGAATTCCAATTTATTCCAAGACATGCAAATGAGCAAAGATAAAAAACCTTGGAATATTTGGGAATACTTGGGAATGGGTTAAAACACCAGTGGAAATTTTTGGGAATTCCTAGGAATTCCAAAATAATTCCAAGTTTGAAGGAAACTGTCTTTGGAACTTATGGGAATTATTGGGAATTGCTAAAACACCAATGAGAATTTGTGGGAATTCCTAGGAATTCTCAATAATTCCACGTCATTGTTAACTTGGAAACACTAGGCTTAATTTTTAGGAAAAACGATAAGTGTTCAAAGGTAATAAAAAGCGTAAAAAATTTTAATAATCATTTCTTTAATTGCCTATAACAACAAGGATTTCTTGACATTAACCAGCATCTATATACAACATTTATTGCGACTTAAATCTTTAAAAAAAAATTATCAACAACAAGGACGATGCTGAAAGCTTATTCAAAGTGCCACTTCTCGTACCTGAGCTTTCCAAACATGTCCACAACAGGTTTCTCATCGCGGCTTTGCCTAATAAAAGGTCATCGCTTCTTGAAAAAACAATACGAAATTTTCCTCTCGCTGCTTATACCTCAAAAGCGTTGGAATATTTTATTTAGCTCTAAAAAAAACCGCTTTTTTCAACTTGCTCATCATCGAGCAAAATCATCCGCCATGTTTGAGCTATACTGGTTACCAGTCTCCACACTAAGTGAACTGCGTCATCACGTGCAATGGAAAAGTGTGAAATGAAGTTCCGTTTAGTGCGGACTTTCATTAGCAAGAGCACAAGTATTTTGCATCCGAAATTGACGTTATTTCAAACGCGGATTGTTCATTTATTTTGTTGTTGACACATGAAACGTGCTTCCAGTCATGTCCGAGAACGATAATTCAGCTGGATTGTGAAAGGTAAAGGTACGTTCCTGCTTCGTAATGTGTCTTCTGATGGTAACCGGCAAGTACTCAAATAATGAAGCTGGAGATCAAAGTGAAATTATAGATCGTTCCGATATCTGAACACGAAACTTCAAGATGGCATGGAAAACCATTTATTGGTTCCTTTTTGTTTACTGGAGACATAACTGTAGTCGTTGTTGCAAATGGTTGATGGAATTCTACGTGAATGAGCTTAAGCAGCGACGTTTTTGAGCGACGCACGTCAACCGGAAATGGACTTTTTGCACACTTGAGCCGTGATTTTGAACAAATTTTTGGGCAGATCGTCTCTTTAAGAATTAAGACACTTGGCAATATAAATACGGTAGCGTCAAGGCTTACTAGAAGAGAAAACGGCTCACTTCCGGTTGACGTGCGTCGCTCAAAAACGTCGCTGCTTAAGCTCCCTATCGATAACTAGGACTCGGATAACTCGAATTCCCCGCTAAGTCGAACTAAATTTGCTTTCTCTTGATCAAGATTTCACTGAAATTTACCCCGATAACTCGAATTCCCCACTTAAAATCGAACTATTTTTCGTTTCTCTTTAGAGTTGGAGTTCACCGCCGAGATTCTACTGTAAACGCCATGTACTACAAGTACTTTAGTTTCCAGTTCATTATTTTGTTCTCAGTTTGAGACCTGAATTAAAAGAGCGGCTTAATAAGGGCTTAGCAGATAAGCCCGCTAGAAGCAAGTTGGCCTGACTAATTCTTTTTTTCATATATGTTCCCGCTGTAAAATTAATTCAATCAAGACTCTTTTGCTGTATTATTCCAGTTACAAATGTGTCCCACAATTTTTCAATAATGACTCAAGAACAATTTATATCTCAGGACTTTAACTGTTTTATCCACTTTTTTAAAAAACAAAGATGTGATTTTGAACATTATTATCATAAACTTGTTTAAATCCAATTTCCATGCTTTCTCCAGTTGGTAATTAATCATTAAATTTGCGTATACTTTACTTATCCTGGGATTGGATGTTCATTGATGTCATGATGTTAAACCTGTAAACTCCTAGAATTCCTAGGAATTACTTGGAATTTCTGGGAATTTCTAAGAATTTTTTGTGTTTTAAAATCTTGTAGGTTGGAATTCCTAGGAATTCCAAGTCTAGTTTCATTTCCATTTGGAATTTCCGGGAATTTCTAGGAATTTAGAACCAGAACTTTTTAAACTGGGAATTCCTAGGAATTCCAACTCCGAATTTACCGTGAAAATTCACACCTACGATTCCTAGGAATTCCTAGGAATTCTTAGGAATTCCTAGGATTTTTTTCCTAGGAATTCCAAAACTTATTTTGCAAGGGTCTTGACCCCCAAGATTCGTGAGATTCTGTGATACACGTACATGTTCTACTTCTAGTACACTGTACATGAAACACTCTCCTCCACATTGTATCTCCATAATCTTCAGATCATAATTAGGCTTAACCAGTTATGACTTTAAATGATGGGGCAGTGTAAAATGCAGACTATTGTTTTTAGGGTTAGAAAACAATGGGATTATTGTTGTCACATACTCATTTGCATGGTGAAAACAATAGTCCGCAGTCTGCCTTTTACACTGACCGATTGAATAATACCTGATTTACAGCCATAAAACTCCATTCTAAGTGCACAGTGTCCAGAGCAGTTTGTTGGATGTAATCTTATGTACTGTGCTGTCACCAAGGGATTGACCAACACTCTCTTAGTACCATTATCATTTGTATTACCCTGAAAAACCTAAAGAAACATAAAAAATGTATATTCCACTATAAGCTACAGGATATAATATTTTGGTCTTCTGAACCCAGAACAAGAAAGACTACAGACAGAGACCAAGACAAATAAACTACAAGTACAGCTTAAAAAATACAAAGCATACAAGTAGAAAGTAAGATGTGTAGCAGAGTATAAGATCTCCACCTTCACTCATTGAGGATCACTAAATTAAATGTAACAGTACTGAAACGAGAGTAACATAATTAACTTTCTTTCTTTATACTAAAACTTACAACATAACATAGCGCGCGTGCTTGCCCTATATAAGTCCTATTGAGCCACTAACTGTATGAACAAAATCTTTATTTAGGCAGACCCTGCATACACTGTCAGATATGCCAACCTCTAGAGATTTAAAATCTGGAGACTCTCTGTTTTTCACTAGCCCCCTACCCCGGAAATTTAGGACATTATATCAAGTCTTACATGAAGTAGATACTATCCAAATTCACGATCATCGTTTTGATGCCAGAAATAATCTTTGTCAGTGACTAAATAGGTGTAAAATGCCTCAGAAACCGTACTACAGTTACGAATAAGAAAAATTCAAGTTTTGAGCTAAAAATGGGCTAAATTTCAAACTATGGCACAGAAAAGCTCAAAAGATGATTTTATCCGGGAGATAAAGCGACCCGTATGGGAGACCGGGAGATTGGTGTCGTATCCGGGAGACTCCCGGATAATCCGGGAGGGTTGGCAAGTATGCACTGTATAAAGATTTTTTTTCATGATGACGAGTTCAGCCGTGTTTTTCATATCTTTTCCTAAGTACTAATACTCAAAAATCGACGGCAATGATGAAAAACTTTCTAGCATAGTATTTGGAATTGAGCTTCTAGCTGGCCACTCAAACCAACAGCAAAAGCGGTGAAGATGTTTTGCGCAAATTAATAATAGAGCCTGTTCGTTGAAAAGTCTGCCATAAGGATTGACACAGAAATATCCAATTCGTATAAAGTGTCCTCCATTTTTAGCATTTGTTTATCCTTTACAAAACAACTTAATTACATGTATAAGCTTGTAAATTAAGCTCAATAGCAAAAAAAAAAAATTAAAAATTATTCATGCACTTTTGTTATTACCGAACAATCCCACTGAAAAAGGAAAATTTCTCTTGCAATAACAAGACAAATTACACAAGAAGACATAAATTTATTACTCACAAAAACCGCTGCTGCCAGGTATTCTCAAAAAGCCATAATGACCAGCCATTGTTAGTAAATGAATAAAAATAAAGTAGGACCACAGTCATCGGCACTAAAAAACAAGTTTTCCGCATTTTGCCGAGCAAAACATAAATCTTCTTTTTAGCCAATTCGGAAATTATCCAAACTATACTCCATGACTTCTTACGAACATATGACTATTTCTAACTTTAGGTGGACTTCAAGACTCTGCTTTTACTTTTGTTTCAGCTTAGTTTCCATTGATCATTAACGAATAAATAAGCAAATTTTCTTTCTCAGTGACTCAGTTTTACAGAAAGAATTTTCTTTCAAACTAGAAAATTGCGGTCTGTTTGTAACTAGCCAACAGAAGCGTTTGTTTTTCTGTGTTACTTGTTACGAGAATTTTGCACTTAATCAAAAAGCAAGCATTTTTGTGAGCTATGTTATGAAAGAATTTGCTCATGCTTTTAGCTGTGCATATATAATTATTGAGTTATGGATGCACTTGGGAAGGTTAGAGAGCACTGACAAAGCTAGTAATAATTGCTCTCGGCAGAATTTATTATATCATGTAGTGCACGTGGAAATTTTAAACAGTTACATGTAGTTTATATATGATTACCTTAACATATCCTCCATGAATGGTATAGTTCAACCACTCCATTTCACTGGTATCATAACTGAAGTAAAATGATGAAACAAAGCCAGAACCTGGAAAGCCCTGAGTACTGATCGCAGTAATGTTCATAATTTTTCCCAAATTCACTTGTATCCAAGGTTGTGTATCATTTTTATCAGCAACCCAAGATTTTGTGTTATTTAGTCTTGCATTTGATGCTGATGAATTTGAATTTAATTCTGAGGACGCTGAGATGTCAGTGTCACGAATTTTCCCGTTTGTCATGCCAAGGAAACTGGAGGCAGTGGTACAACCTGCAAGTAAAAATTAATAAAGACGCACAAACAACTGTTAACGTACAGTAAAAAAAATTTGATAACTACAATAACAAAATCAAAAGACCTACTACTGTTTAAAACTATATTGTTCCATTGCAAACCATGTGACATTTTAAAGGCACTTTACCTTTTCATGGTTAATCATACAATGTACAATAATGAACAAATTTACTTAAAATCATGATGAATGTTTACTTAGGGTGTGTACCTTTGGGGTGATCCGGATCAGGATCAGTCAGAGTAGTCATGGTATCCAATGAACTAATGAATACTTAATTCCCAGAGTAGATTGGTCTGTTCCTTTGGTGTGATGTGATGCGACTAATCTATTGTAGGATCACTGATCCCATACCTGCCAACTTTTTCTGAGACATAAGCATGAGATTTTTATCCTGGGAGTGCTGGGATTTTTGAAGACGACACGATCATTTCCGAAGATTCCCGAAGAAGTCCGAAGTCTTCCGAAGAAGTCCGAAGTCTTCCGAAGACGTCCGAAGTCTGCCGAAGGCGAAGTTATCGAGAAAATGCTTATCCACAAAATCAGAGATCGCGAGGAAGGTATTGTCATTTCATCATTTTACACATGGTTTTCTTTTCTTACATGGGTCTGATTTAACATATTTTTGGAAATTGTGTCCGGCAAGACGGCAACAACTCACATTTTTCAATCAGGCATGAGAAATTGGCCAGCAAGCGTGAGCTGGTGTGAGATCGAAGTTTTCAACCCGCAGGCGTGAGACTCACGCCTAAGGCGTGAGAGTTGGCAGGTATATGATCCCTATTCAGATTTGCCCAGAGAATGCACCCTCAAATCCTAGACTGTGGATCCAGCTCTTTTGCAATAATTATTAAAATTATCAATTAATGTTTTAAAATTATCAATTAATGTTTTAAGAGGATCATTAAGAATAAGTAAATCATACCTGAAGGGGTGTTAGAAGACTGTGTATCTGTGAAAAAATGCAAAAAATATCAAACAGTGTTAGAGAAGATTGTAAAGCAATTTTTTGCCAGACCCTTACTATTTCAGCAAGATGAAAAGAATAAGAATGTCATTAAACTCATCACCAATAGATGAGCTTGGGCGTTGGTGCCTACAAAGATGGTGGAGCCCGGCAATGCTCTAGCATGAGGAGGACGTATCCACGGCAACCCTGTGAGCAGCCCCCACCAGGCACCGTCACACTGAACAATTCAGTGGAATACTTACCGACCCAATACTTACCTAGCCCATACCAAGAGGGAGGGAGGGATGGGAAAAACCAAAGAACAAACTGGCACGCAAACAGCAAGCTATTGCAACAACACTTTGCGAAGAACTGCAAGCAAGCAACTGCATATATAAGTCATGAGGTGCCCCTTCTAGAGGCATCAGGCCTTCCCTACTATAGCTGGGGAGACAGCTGACCAGCATTGCTTTGAGGTTAACTTTGCCTAAATTACATTTAGCCGCATGAATACTTAAAAAAAGATTGCATCAAAGAACATTGAATATAATTTAATAAATTAATTATTTCTAACTATATGTACAGTCAAACCTCCACATGCTTGCTACCTGTACCTTAAGCAACTAAGTACTTATTCAAAACACTTTTTCCCAGTTAAAGCCTTCGTTTGGAACCTTTTGTACACCTCAACTCTCTCAGTTTTCCATTGTTTTTAACCTCTTGTACATGTACATGTAAGCGACCATGTCCACTTTACGTACGGTGTATACAGTCATGTAGTTTACGAACAAGTATGGTGTATGTTCTCTGTACAGTGCACTATACTACTCACATTATACAAGGAGCTTTTGTTGATGTCATGGAACTGCATATCATACAGTAAAAACTAAGAAATTGCATGCAAAACAATGTAAATTATCTTCAGAAAAGAGGGTTTCAGGGCTAGCTCATCTCAATTCTTGTAGCTAGTGACTGTACCTCACGTGAGAAACCACTGGATCTTGGCATTTGAGGTGGTAGCTTTCAGGAGGTTCAACTGTATAATTATACGATGTGAAGGTGAGAGCAGGCAATAAAAGGAAAACAGCAGTCTCATCCTCCCATACAATTTTCATTTATTAATACGTCTCCCTGCAATTTCTATGCATGACTATTACTGAACTCATTCAAAACTTGTAAATACATTAGAATATATTTTGAAGTTGACTAAACTGTTTTTTGCTTCGTTTTTTGTTTGTTTTTACTTTGTTTTTTAGTTGCACTGACGCTACACTGGTTTCCGCAGTTTCCGGGAAAACTTGTCAGAAGGAAAAAAAAGTCTTTGGACAGGTTACTAAGCATTTAGAAATTGAGGCAGTCAATAATTATAAATAAGCATCACTTGGAAATCAAAGATCCAAGAGAATTTCAATGGTTGATTAAACTTTATATCATACATTATTTTCCTCATAGCTAATGTACTAAAAATATGTACGGTATTGTTCCAAAAGGTATTTCAGGGTTTCCTACTTCAATTTATAGCTTGATTGTCGCACATACAATAAATATACACTGAGAATTATATTTAATAAAACTACTTCCTCAAACCAAACCACACGTTTTCTTTATTTGCTCCCCTTTTACAAGTAATAAATTTGCTTACCACTTATAAACACACTCAATTCCCTCCCGCAAAAAATAAAAATAAACGAAGAGAGACGTTCAATTTGTGTGACACATCATCTCAAGCATTCGAGCGAAATTCACAATCCATCAGAGTGGGATGAGCATTAGAACTAACCTTAACTTTCCAAGTCAATCATCATAATACATTTGTACATAAACTCGTCAAAATTTGCCTTCTTCCTTGCTCGTCTTGATCTTCTCAATGGAGTATTTGTTTGTTGTTCGTCTTCCCCTACACATTCACTGGCTTCTTCGATGGTGACTGACCGATTATGTGAGATTGATGATGTATAAATTCGTTCTCAGTCTTTTCAATGATTTTTTCATTAACGAAGCTTTCTTTCAAAAAACCCCATATGTCCTTAACACTTATTTCCCTTTCCGCCTCTTCTGTGAAAGTTAACCGATTGAACACATCGGTATCAAAGCACAAAATCAAAATTGCCCTTGTTTTTTTGGTAGCAGTGGTTACATCTTGCTGCAATACATACAATTTCATTTTGCAAGATGAAGCATCTGAGGCAAGATAAAGATGTTACCACACGACTGGAAAAGATCACTTGACCCCTCCTTTCGTCCCCTCTCCCTTCCGCTTATGGTAACTACTGTTTCTGTCGTTTCTCCTTGGACCTCTCCAGTCTTACCGAAAGCAAATGACTGACTTGTAGGCTGCTCTGTTAAAAAGAGATTTAAATAAAGATTTGTACAGCCTTTCATCTTCAATCCTATGAGCTGCTTTTGGGCAGCCAGGCTTTGCTGACTTTGCTACTTTCGAAGGCACTGTCGGCATAGGATTTCCATCTACAGATGTGCCAGTCCGCTTCGCCTGTGCTGAATTGCTGATGTGGGTATAAGCAGCTTTCAACTCAATCTCATACACCTTCACTATATTACAAAGACAGATACCATAACATTTTTGGGAAATGACCAGTTAGCACATATTTTGACACAGAAAAAAATTAAGTTGGAATCGCTCGACAATAATTTGGACACGGGTAATGAATGATCATAAATATAAAGCTTAAGCCAGATCAAGGAAACCTATCAATTAACTCCTGCTCCTTCGTTATCACTTTGGAAATCGCTGCATTCCACTGCTCTTGGGAATCAATCGCAAATACTCTGCCCTTTGGACAGTTCGCTGTGACTTGAAAGTCTTTTACACTGATCGTCACTCTGAATCTCGCTATGTTTAGCTGGCTACACTGATCTACAATACCAAATCCTTCTCTAACTCGAAAAATAAAATCAAGCAACATCTTGTCACTTTTGCCCCTACTTCCATTTCAAAGGACCAACGCATTGCTGGTTTTTGTTCGACATTTCTATAAGTCGCATCAGTGACAGGCAGCACAACACGATTGGCAAACGATCTGTCCGCCATCTTGGCAATCTGTGACAACAGATTCCCGTCAACTTGTGACCCTCGTAACCTTGTACCCAGACTCCCAACTGAGAGCCGTGACTTTGTTTGAGTTCTTGTGATCTCTTGAATAAAGTAGACAAAACCAATGACAGTGGAGCATAAATGACCATAAATATTCTCTCAGAAATAACGCTCTTTATTTCTTATATCAAAATGTTTTCGTCCTCTAATTTGTACAGTTTTGTTCCCCTGTTCCCTAAAAAAAGGCTCATGTTCCCTTTTTCCCTTGTTCCCCCAAACCCCTGGGAAACCCTCGGGCTTCGGGGTTCCCAAACCGTCCGCTCATCCTTTAAGTATAGTTCAAGCTAGACCCGGTAAAAATGGCCGCCTGTAGCGTTCTCTCTAGACGATCTTGCCGAAAAATAGAGGACTTTGAACGGTGTATAACACCATAACATTAATCGAGAGCTCTGGTTCCAAACGGGAAGTCCACTTAGCGAATGTCCAGCTTCTTAGTACGTAGGAAGGAAACGAGAGGTATATATTTAAACAAGGTAGCACAAAGTTGGGAGGATGAGAGAATGTAAACGCGCTTGTGAGATATAGATGATATTGAGCGAATGGCTCGGTGGTATCCGACAACTAGAAGAATACGCGTGGGTGAGTCGCTTGAGTGAGAGTGTGTGATGTAATATATCAAACATGAGATGCAGTGTTTCATCACCAGATGAAACACCGAGAAGAGAGTTGAAAATACGACGCGCAGCGGAGTATTTTTGACGAACTTCGAGGTGTTTCATCTGGTGATGAAACACTGTGTCGAATGTTTGATATTTCTTCTCAAACAAAATCATTTTTGAAGGAGAAATTAAGGATGCAAATACTAAGCAGTGTTTCATCCGATTTCCAAACACTCATTAAACATTAATTTCCTTTGTATTTTCTTAATGAATTATTAATGACTTTGAGAAGGTATATATGAACACGTTGTATCTCCTGGTTGGAGGAACATATGCGTCGTATTCTCAGGGCAAGGCTGAATGGAAAAGCTCGTTTAGTCCGTAAGGGGTGACATGATGAATGTAAAAGGTACTGATGTTCGGCTGTAGAAAGAACAATTTCAATGATCGATACCATCATGGAGGGACACCTTTACGTAGAGAAAGGAGAAAAATTTGAATGAGCAGTTTGACCAGTATGATTTTAATAGTGGGATGAAGGGTATTTAGGTAAATGGAATAATACGTTTATAGTGAGAATGAAATTGAGGAGGTCGCAAAGATTCTTTGTGTATGGTGGATGTACAGCGGTCAATTGAAGTGACGGCAGGCGCCAATAATATCGATCCTCATAGTTCTCATTGTACTGTGTTTAAATCTATACCGCTCGTTTCCTTCCGACGGCTACTAACAAGCCGGAAGTCTGCGATTCGAGGACTTCCTGTTTTGGAACCAGAGTAATACTAAACTGATACTAAACTGATACTAAACCGAAATGGACAAAAGTTTTCTTTGGTCTGTACTGTTATTGACAGCAGGCTGATTTAGCAACAGAACAGAAACGTCATTCGGGACGACGGCGCGCGCAAATGAAACAACCGGCTTGACCAATGCCAGAGCGGCAAATTGGGCACCGGAAGTCGTATTTAGTCCTTTCCGTGCGCTTTCCCGTCATCAACTGACGTTTCCGTCCTGATGCTAAATCATCCTATAAGCTCTCGGCCAATCAGCGGGTGAGAAATTGTTCAGTCATTGTAAAAAAATAATTGTAACTAATTATTTTATCACGTTAGCCAAAGGCAGTTGTAATAAAACAGTCATTTCTTTAGGTTCCGCCGGTTCCGCCTGTTCCGCTGCTCCGCGGTCTGCAGTTCTGCAGATAAGTCTTACCATCTAAAGCACAGCGAAAATCTAAAGTCATTCTAACATTAATACAAAAATGAAAATTTTACCTGTGTACATTAAAAGAAGAAATAAAGTCCATGATTAAGCTCCTTGACGAACAAACATGGCCATTTTTTGCTTTCAAGTTTTTGGGCTGACGGAAAAAAGTCATTCCATCAGATGAACGGGAAGTGACTATTTGGACACGTGACTTGAAGTGAGCATTCTTTCATCGACCAATCAGATTACACGCGCGTGTTCTGACGGAAGTTTTTATTCACTTCCCGTTGCGCTTTCTTTCCATCTGGGCGTTGAGAAGGGAGGAAACTATTTTTAACGCACCCTAATGATACTAAATGTCTTTTTATTTTTCGTTTCCTTTCTGAAAAAAGATAAAGAAGTGCGTCAGTACACGACTCAGCTAGCTTGACATTTTTTCTGAAGGAGGCAAATAAACCGTATGTCCGTATGTCTTCGATGAAGAATAGAACTTCACGCGACTAACAATAGCTCAGTCTGTTTAAAAACTGTCTAATTTTACTCCGAATTAGCATGTGACTTTTTGCTGTTAAACGCTTCAAAATTGAAAAATCCTCGATGATTGTTGTTGATTTTGCCGTAAGTAATTCAATGCACTGAGTTAAAACGAATTTTTACGTTTTACAAACTTCATGGCTCGAATCGATCGATGAAATATGAGCGCAACCGATGCTTTAATAGTTTGTTTATATTTGTCGTGGGTTTTGGATAATATTATAAACCTTAAAATTTACGGGCAAATTCGACGAAAAAGCACTCTCACTTACATTTTTCATTTAAGATATTGATTTTAGCACAGTATAAGGCAAAATTAAGAGCGATACTTTCTTTAAGAACGCTATAACTACATATTTAATGGCCAAGCCAAAACAGCGATCTAATCCGTCTTTTGAAAACAACTACGATTAACTACAATACGGCTTCTGATAATAAAATTTATAAACGCTGCAAACATTTTTATTCAATCTTATCGAGTGATTTTCGTGAAGATGAGTTTTTAAGTGAAGAATACTTTGGTTTCTGATTAGTTTTAACTGTTTTGCCATCGATACAATTTGCACGAGACCACCGGATTCGCGAGGGTTTTATGTTAGTGCACGAGGAAAAAAACTTGCTTCTCTTTGCATATTAAACATTTTCTTCTTTGTAGCAATGAACCTACTTCTATTGTTTCTGCATTGTCTCTTGAAAGTGTGAGAATAGTTAACCGTTATGAAGTTCATAAGAGACCGAAAACGACGGCAGTCTTTGAAACCTCGTTTTTGCTCGCAAAGCCTAATGGGTACCCCACTTTTCACGGGCGACGTTTTTCAATGGGCACGTTTCTGTAATGTAAAAGAAAAGGTTGCTTCATCTCGAGGGAGCGGGAATAGGGTGGCGAAGAAAGAAGTTGTTGGAGGTTTTAGCCCTGAGCTTTAATTTCTCGCTCTTTTATGAAGTTCTGCATCCTCGGAGAAACGAGCGCAGGCGCATTGTTGCCCTACCAACTGATTGGGCGGTCGTGATGAGGAACAGAAACTGCTTGTACGACAATAATTATCTTTTATTTATCCACATGTATTAGTTTTGATTTAAGGCGTAAATAAAATATTTTAACTTTCAACCGTTACTGTAATATAAAAGGAACGCCATCATTGCTTTTGTTGTTGTTGTTATCGTCTTTTGTGCTTGCTTGCTTGTCACGTTCACTGCACAGGCGGCCCAAACTCACGTTACGAGGGAATTACTTACCATAGGTGACAAAAATTTTTTTGGGGATCACTTCCTTGGGAGCTTGGAAACTAAGCTTAGAATAGTAACCAAGCCTTCCCATTTAGTTTCCAATCCTTTCTCAGCCATTTCTATGCAATGTTCGGTCAAGTTTAGCTGGCAGCCGAGGTTTTATTGCAGTAAAGCTGGAAACTTTTACATGTAATACCGAATGGTAAGTCGCAGGCAGTGTTTTAATATTTGAGTTGTAACTCTTCTCTTTTTGCTTGATAAATTTACAATGTGCATTGTTCAACCCCTTTTAAGCATGAAATAAGCTTAAAATATAATAATAAACTTCTAAGTTCTACGAAATTAGACTTTAGTTGTTTTTTGTGCTCTTGTATAACCTTGATCCTGACAAACTAAGACTAGCTGTTTTCAATCACTGTTGAAAAATTATCGGCATCTGTATAGATTGGAGTTCAAATTTAATTTGAGGTGATATACACGACCCCACAAGCTTTAAGAGCTTTAAAAGCTATAACAACTACAACATCATTGACTTTATGATATTTGGACAGATATAATTACATCATATTATTATCCCCCCCCCAAAAAAACTATCGTGTTTAAATAAAGATTATATATGCATGTATGTATTTACGACAATGAAGGTTTTCAATACCTGTTCTCGATGAGTTGCACTTCTTCCGATTGTGCTTCACGCCAGCGAGTCCTTCTACAAAACAGGTCACTGACAGGAGACCTTGAAGGACGCTATTCAAAAAGCAAGTATTCCCGAGGTTGGAAATTCCCTTTGGATTCATTTCGGAAGCGACTGCTGTCAGAATGAAAAATTTTAATTCGAAGAAGAAAGAGTAACGCAAAGACCGGACGTTCGTGTACACATACAGCGACATTCGATGAGATAATTTCTTTCCCGCGAAAGTTTAAAAAAATTCCGTACCCAGTACCCCTGCTTTCACACTTCTAATCGTCAAGGGGATCTGAGCGCAGGGCGTCCAACCCATCAGGAGGCTTGGTTGCTGATTTCAGCCTGGTTCCCAAGAAAGTGATCCCAAAAAAATTTTTGCGTTGCGCCTACCAACTAATTTGCATTATGACAATCTGCAGTTACACGACGGGTGCAAGGACACGCTTTTTCACACTGCGAGAGCCTAGTTGACGTGTCATTTCCGACCTGGCACCCGTCGTGTAAGTGCTAATTGTCACAATGTAACGCGACACCGGCGAGTCACCTATGGTATGTGAATTACATTACACCCTTCCCTCGTAACGTGAGTTTGGGCCACCTGTGTTCACTGTTGCTCATTATTAATTTGATTGTACATGAGTAGTCATTTCAAGTCTCACTTTTTGGACTGTTTGATGTAAACAAATATTTCAAAACTTCACGCCCTTCTTGAAAGATGCTCATTTTGCCGGATAAAATTGAAAGCTTTAGACATCCAACCGAACTCACGTGAAGAAAGGATTTTGCCAAAAACGTCCTGAATCAAACGTGTTCACCAAAGAGAGCAGGAATGAATGGCAGCTTTTAAAGTACCGTATTTATTCGAATAAGCGCCCAACCTCGAATTAGCGCCCACCTCGAATAAGCGCCCATCCTAAAGGCAGAAAAAGTTAATAAGCGCCCAACCTCGAATAAGCGCCCACCCCTCCTCCTCCCAATCAAACTCAAATAAGCGCTCACCCCCAACCCACCCACTTGAGTGAATAAATTCTAATAAGAGACTTCCCCGAGGATGGAGTTCTCTTCAGGGTATTTTACAGAAACCTTGCTTTGTTACTTCTTCGCGTTTTGTTATTAGCATTTATTGTTTTGTTGCAAAATAAACATACTTCACTTGCTGAAAATGGTGAAAATTTAATAAGCGCCCAGCCTCGAATAAGCGCCCACTCTCAAGGTCCAAAAATTTAATAAGCGCCCAGGGCGGTTAATCGAATAAATACGGTAATGTAATAAGTCATGAACGTGACACAATTTAGTGGGGGTTCAATAAAATGAAATCTCCCATACCCCTGACCCGTGACCGCCACGTGCCTTCTGGTATTACATAACAATCATTGGTACATAACAGATTTCATGAGAGACTACCATTTATATGCTAATATTAAGCCACCAAAGGCAAGGGAGAAAACAATAAAAATTCTATTTGTCAGTCAAATAATCTCTTTCAGTTTCTACAATCTACTGATTGAAGCTTATAGGTCATGTTTAGACCCCGAGATATTGCTCGTATCTGCCAAATTGAAAATAGCCTACAATAGTTTTAATTGTTCACCTATTCCGCTTTTGAAGCCTATATTTGGTCATACTTTTTCTTCCTTATATTTTTATTTTAATTTGTTCGCTCTTTTTCTCTCTGCGATTCTCAGCCACGTTGCTCGAGAAAGTCATAGGCGAACATTCTATCCGATTAGCCCCTTCGAAATACAAATAACCATGATATTGAAAATTGCGTTACTTCTTAAAAGTCTCCGACAAATACGCGTACTCTGAAACGCGACTTTGTTCCTCTCAGTGCTTTTACGGGTTGGATACGAATGGCATGAATTTTCAGCGACGATAGTTTGATTGTTAGAGTAGAAGGTTCTGATTGCCGGGGCTGAATTAGTAACTGATAGGAAATAGGCAATGAAATAAAGAAGTATGTCAGACTCTGTGTTCGTATCATCCGCATTCCCTCCGTACCTAAATTGCTTTCCAGTATAGTATCCAGAGATGCAGTGGCAAAGATTACTACAGAATTGCTTTTATCACTAATATTAACTGTTCAGGATATAATTAAATCACTTCCTCAAATAAGCATTTCTATACTGCAATACAAATAATCATTGTAGTGATGCTATACTCGTGAAGAACCCTGGGCCTACTAGAAGGGCGATACTATACGACCCTTAATTGTTTAAACTTACCTTTGGCGTACATAAGATCAAGCTGAAGAGAAGCGAACATTATCAGCTTCATCATAATTTTTAAGATTAAGCTGCTCATACTTCAACAGAGGCTCAAACAAAATTTCTTGGCCAAAGCCAACAACCGATGAATTAAATGGTGTTTGAGCAGCTGGGGTGACGCCAAAAATAGGCGTTGCTCTAATGTAAATCCTCTCTTAATATAAATAATGAGGTATGGCAATGTCTGCATGTACCAAAACTCGGTAGAGGAAAACACGTACTCCGGAACACTTGGGGATACAACAAATGACAGATTAAATTTCAGGTTTCTGTTTGTCTTTTTCAGACATTTAACCTGTCATTGCGAATTTTTTAGAGTTATTCCAGGTTGTTTGGTGTTCCTGGGAATACATTGAACCAAAGGAAAAAAACGCACTTCCCCGTGGAGCTAATTACTTGAAGTCGAAAGTGTCGAGGTCTAGGAAAAAAAAACTTTCGTAAAACTTACGAGCAAATGTTTTGATAGATATCAGATAATTGTTAGGTGTATTCTGCGTATTAAATTCCTGAATTCCTGCTTTTGTAGAGTTTCCCGAGGTGACTGATGCCCCGATCTCAAGTCCTGCAGTGCTGGCTCCTTTCCAAATTCCAACTATGAAAAACATCAGTTGGTACGCGCATGGTGTGATGGCTAATGCTTCAGCTACACAATGCGTTAATATATTTATAAGGAATACTGTTTTCAGACTGGCTTTGTACATGTGTCTTGCAAAACGAAAGAGCACAATTAAATAAGTACTATTTTTCAGCAACTGTATTGTTCGTTCGATTTCGTTACACAATTTTATGTTACCCGTATTCCCTTTTTACTTTAATAGGCCATCTGCACGATGACGTCACTACTACTACTACCAGAATTCTTTTCTTTTTTCCATCATCTTCAAATTTGGTAATCCCAGCAAGGTTTAACCTGCGACCAAGCTCTCCAATCATGGCGAGCAGAGCTCCTCACACTCGCGTCTCCTATAGAGTGCGGCTCTCGCGTGACTTCTCGCGACTCACCCAAATGGAGGGTTTGCCTGCAGGCTAAGCGAGGTTCAAATAAACAAAACTCTAATTTGCACAAGGATTTTGGTCGTAGTGATAAAATGACGCCATCATGTAAATAGTTTTTTATCTTGATAACTGTCGATCTTTGTTATCGTTAAAGAAGCGCGAAGAAAGGAAGAAAAAAAAAACAAGAAGAACTGTAAATTTTCAACACAGTCAATCTCCTTTTCATCAATACTGCTTTCAATGCACTAGTGTTCACTTCGGTTTCATACAGGATCTTCTCATCACTTTCAAGTAACATTCTTGAAAATTTTCCTGTGGGGCAGAAGAGTTGTGATTATTTATCGTTTCGTTGCTTTTGCCACTTGATGTTGATTTATAGATGTGTATGTGTGACAACGTCCTTGATTTTGAAAAAGAAAATATATAAACCATATTTGATAATTAAAAGATAAATACCGGAGACGGAGATATTAATCCATAATGACATCCCGAGGGCCTACGGGCCAGGGATGTATATGGATTAATAACGACGCTCGAGGTATTTCAGTCAAACTTATTTCATGATATTATTCCTGATAGATCTTTATCAAATGTAAAACGCATGTGTCTGTATGTGTCACATGTGTCATAATATTATAAAAATTGAACCGAATTTTAAAGTTTTACCATGATTCATTAATTAAGACCTTTCGTTCAAGAAAACAAGGCACTAGCCACGTGCACACTCACACCTTGATCGAGTTTTAAAAGAAAAACAATAAAAGTTACAAAATTGTGAGATTTTGACAAGGTTTTGAGAAACGTTTTGTGGTGTCCTCAAGGGAGTTTTTTTGTTTGGTTTCGTTGTTCAGTCGTTTTGAGCATTCGATTATTCAGTAGGTCGGTGCATGCTTTCATGTTATAGTGGCGTTCATGGACAGCGACGAAGAGTTTTTTCTGACACAAAATAGTTTTTCGCAAGAAGTATTGGAACCTAATTTTAGCATGGGAATGACGGTCAGATCCACGGATAACTTCAGCGGTGCGTAGAATGATGACTATCGTTGACGGTGACTTAAGGCCCCCCGGGGGGGGGGGGGTACTCCCATGCATTACCTATACGAGTATGTGCCGCCCAAAGGGGTCGTGATTTTGAAGCTCCTGATTTAGAACGGGGTATCCATTTCAGACGCGTTTTCTAGAACGGGGTATACTATTTCGAACGCACAAAAGTGCCACTTTTGTAGGCAGCCATTTGAAATTATTCAAGGACAGATTGCTTTAAAAAATACGGTTTAATGCGTTAACAAGCAAACTGTTGTACTCTTCAGTTGCACCGCTAGAACGGAGTATAAAAAATGGGCCCATTTCTAGAACGGGATATCAGTTTTAGGGCGAATTCTAGAACGGGGTACAAAAAATCGACCCATTTCTAGAAAGCGGAATCAATTTTAGGGGAAATTTTTTTTCGAACGGGTGCCAATTTGGAGTCCAGGGCGGCACATACCCAAAAAATACCCAAGGCCCCCGGGCTCAAGCCTTGTTATTCAATGATGAGAAATCTCATGTTACATGGGTTAGGCCCGTTTCAAACGTCGTGCTACTGCCGTGCCGAACTAAATTGATCGAATTAAATCCGACCTTAGCACGGCAGTAGCGCGACGTTTGAAACCAAGTCGTGCTACTGCCGTATAGCACGGTAAGCTTTGCCGTGCTACACGGCAGTTGCTCGACTTGGTTTCAAACGTCGCGCTACTGCCCTGCCGAACTCAATTCATAAATTATAAATATATTAGAATACATTTAAAAGTTTCCTAAACCGTTTCTTTATTTTTGTGTTTTGTTTTCGGCAACAGCCGTTCTATTCGACTGAATTAAATTCGACGTCTGAAACCAAGTCGTGCTAGTGTCGTGCTACAGTCGAACTACAGTCGAGCCAGCTAAGCACGGCAGTAGCACGACGTTTGAAACAGGCCTTACGTCACGAGTCGAACAATAACCTCACATTAACTATTCCTTGAATTTAAGTTCATTTTCTTTTGTGGAGCACTTCCTTCTTCATGAACGCAGGAGACGAATTCAAATTTGCATGGATTGAATCACCTTGTCAGCGTATATCAAAATTGAATCATTTTCGGTTAGCGAAGGTGTTATGGTGCTTAAAAGTACCTCTTGTAAGGTACTTTGTAATTGACCTTTTATATTAAATATAAAAATGAAACAAGATGAAGGTTTATCCATTTCTTAGTACGTCTGACCTGAATCTTTACATAAGTAACCTTCTTTTCCCAGATTCTTGACTTTATTATTATTTATTTATTATTGTTATTATTATTACTTCACTATTATTTTTGATAGCGTGACAGTGAAAACCAACAATTCAAGGGCTAAATATTAGGTTGTGTAGTAGAGAGACAAGGATATTTCTGATGTTACAATTTCTTGCTAATCAGCAATCCACTTGTGTGGTAGACCTGTGTACCAATAATGATGTTAGTTACACTTTCTACCGCTCCACCACCAGATCGCCGCTCGTTTTCAAAGTAGTTCCAAAGGGAGTCTTCAGTGGTTTTTGCTGCAAGGTAAGTGACCATGATGGTCTTGGCAGCTTCCTTGTGTTTTTCAGCCATCTCTTTGGTGACTTCGAGATTATCTCCATTCAAAGTATGCTTGTCTTTTTCAGCAACACTTTTGGCCACAATAAATCATTATTAATTCAGTAAATATATCCAAATTTGTGTTTACCGGCCTCAACTCCACAGCCTCGATCAGCTGCCAAGTTTACTTAGACAATAAAAAATCAGTATTAATTACAATTTATTTTGAATTAAATTTTTGCCATCCGATCTACAACTTGTTCGAATAAATGAGATAAACTAAAAAATTACTAAATGATCGACTATAATATTAATTTTTTTTATAAAGGCTCTAATGTCTTGGAGGACGAACTTTTAACATATATGATTAAACATGATCGATATATGAATAGATTTTTGACTTGCTCCCAGTCCCAAGTAACAACAACAACACTCGTCCGCTAATCCCGCAATCTAAGCAGGCCGGATTTTCAGTGCCAGAAAATCACCCATTCGACGTGTATTGAGAAGAAGGCACTTGATTGACATATATGGGTGAGTCACTGCAGGCTCCCCTGTCGCATGCTGTAAGAGAGGTGTAGAAGCCTTCTCCTGGTTTCTGAAACATTGAACATTGAAATCGAGTGTTGATAGATTGAATGCTGGAACATTATTTATGCTTGAAATGATAATGATAATGATACTAATCAGGACTGACGAAACCTAGATTTCCTTCCGCCCAGGACAGCTAAGCTTATTCGAAAAGAAAACAAAAAATTTCCTTTTTTCCCCCCCCCCCCGCGCTCCTTGGACACCCACGCAGCACATCAAAGTGGATAGTTGGGCACAGTTTTTACAGTTTTTATATGCACCTGAGCTACCTGCTACTTAACCGCCCTTGCTGCCTGGGATACTGTTCCGTGGATATGAGGACAGCAGTCATCGGTAACAGAGGCCAATCCAGTCTCCAGGGTCATACAAAACTGACTACAGTTCAACTTCATAAGCGCGCAGACGGAAAAGACCTGCCATGTTCCTTGCTGCCGGCGGTACGTGTTTGTTCTAATGTCAGGGCAGTATCACAGGCAGTACCGGGACTGGTCAACAGCTAGAAATTTCCTAGCACTAAGGGGACAAAGAGATTTCATAACTCTTTAATTCTTCTGTAATAAAACAACTTACTTTTGAAAGACGGTGCAACGTGGCGTATCCACATTCCATGCCATAAGGTTGTACTCTTTCGTATTCACACCCTCCCTCTTCGTTTTCATCAGACACACCAGCCTGTCGTCTATGTGTATCCTTTGCTGGATTCAACAATGAGGTATTCTTCACTCCAAGCTTAATGCTGAAGAAGTACAATCAAACTGCTGAAATCAGGAGCCAATCTAATGAAATGTATATTTTATATATTTTTTGGTCCATGTAGGACGTCCAATTCAGTGCCGTCGTCGTGGTAGTAGTAACCTTTGTTAAGAGATGTTTTCTTGATTTTTTTTTTCGCCTTTTTTACATATAAATGAAGGGAAAAGGAAGTCTCAAGAGGCCATGCATGAAGGCTTATAGGTGAGACTTCCTCTTTACCTTAGATTTAGTTACTATAGTTATTAATTAAATCAATATACTTATATAAATAAAGAACAGCCTATAACAAAGTAATTTACAAATACGTACAAAATATTGAGGGAAGGTTAATTATCTAATAATTAATAATAAATTACAAACGATTTATTGAGTACTCTGTAAATTAAATAAATATGAAGTGGTCTAATACACTTAGCTTATTACAGTATTGAACAGTCCGGGAGATATCAATTTCTGGATATAGGTATCCTGCTTTGTGATTGGTTGAGATCAAAACCAAAACAAAGTAAATTTGGCCGAGAGCTACTGGAAATGAGTAGAAGTTAAACAAATTTTTGATTTCGGCCATTTGTAATGAGGCTATCTGCGGAAACAAAATAAGAAGAGTGGAGCTAATTCTGTCCAGTACAAATTCATCATATAAACGTCGTGATCCTCGAACCGAAGCCAAAGAAAATGCTTAAATTGTATCGCATCAGAGATAAAACCTGTAAGAAACAAAAATGACGAGAAATAATTAATCAATATGCCTGAAACAGGTCAGCTTCATGATCTGTCAACGTGAGACCTACCCTGGGTACCAGAGGTTTTTTCTCGCGTGTTCGGCCGAAGGCCGAAGACACGAGCGGCGAAGCCGTGAGTGAACCGGAAACCGCACATGAAAAGCCTCTGGCATCCACGGTACGTGAAAAAAAATAAAATTTTCTCTACAGCATAATCTACCCGCTAGAAAGAAAATAATCGGAAACAGAGACATTTTACATCATAAGGTATAAACAGTCGTTTAGGCCCACAGGCCCCTTTTTATACGGTGTAAATTCGGATATGTAGATCGCTACCCGTGAGAATTCAACATCCTACAAGAACGCGTGACAAAGCCTCGCAGGAAATCATCACAGTTCACGGACAAAACAATTACAAAGAGGACAGGAAATGACCTCTAAATGTGACCCAAACAATAGCAAAGATAAGACTGATTCGCTCAGCTAAAGTTTGAAATGCTCCATAGTGTAATCTACGGATTTTGGATTTAAGAGAAAAAAAAATTGCAACGCCTTGCAACACGAACAATTCCAAATTAAACAAAACCAAAGATCAGTTTACAGGGCTATGAACCCCCCACGTCATCAAATATTGAGAATTGATAGGGGAGAGATGATAGATGACGTCATATCGCACGAAAAATGACGTCATTTGTGCCAAAAATGCTCGCTGATTCCGATCGACGAATATAACACATAAACAGTTCATATTTAGCACATTATCGCTTAAATTACAGTGGCATACCGGAATTTATGGGGAAACGTTCCATGTTACAGTAGCTCAAACAACGCAAATTATATAAAAATTTATGGTCGGAAAGTGGAGTCTACAAGAAATAGCAACTTTGGCGATTATCCGGGAGATATCAGACTCTAATCTGGAGACCGGGAGATACAGTCCAAAATCTGGAGTCTCTGGGATTATCCGAGAGAGTTGACAGCACTGAGTTTAGAATACGATCCACGAAACGCTCATACAGTGAATCAGTAATGGCGCAGAAATTACACACTTCACAGATTTTCAAAGGCCGTGCATATGAACTAAAGTGTCATATGTACATATGGATTTTGTTTGAATAAGCAACAAGCAAATTTGCTCTAGTATCTCGGAGTAATTTTTTTCAAAACCAGAAAAAATTATTACATACCTGAAATTTGCAAGAATTCAAAGACCACTCCAGTCAGAATGCATCAAAAACACAACCGTTGAATTCACTTTCGGCAGATCTTTCTCTGCGTTGCAGAGACGCACGCCATCTTTCTTTTGTTTCACATGTTCCTCTGATGTTCCTTTACAAGTAACGTGTGGTCTCATGGCATAAATGAAAGGAACCAAAATAATAGCAGCTCAAAAGCGTTGCGAATATTGATTTTTGTTTGAAGATCCAAGATGCAATCATCAGTGACTTCATCATATATCCAAAATGGATATCTCCAGGACTGTTGAAAGTACCGCTGCTATTATCCAGGTAGCAATTGCCACAAACAAAAATAGAAGAAACCCCAAAACACTGAGATATAATATAAAAATATGACAATATGGACAGTACTAAAATAAGACTATGTACAAATCTTTGTAATTGTGTGACGTCAATTTTTTTCCAAGCCACTTTATATTATAGTTTAGTTTCATAAGTTATGAGACATGAAACGTAAAGGAGAGGTAAATCTGGAGAACATTTTTTGAGCCGTGTTTTCGTTTTTGTTTTTAAGATGGCCACCATTCAAATTCAGAATGCTGCTTAAATGTAGTTGCAGATCCTCAGCAGCGCACAGTATTCGACATATAACGCAGACAAATCTCAAGGACGACAGAGGAGCTTTGTAACTACAAAATGTGTATGGTTACCGCAAAGTTCCATTTAATTACTATGGATTTTATGAATTTTTGCTCAGGGGTGGTAAGCAGCCTCTTTTGAATCTATTCTACCTTCACTTAAGGAATGAGTGGGGTGGAGAGGGATGATCCTTTCTTTAACGCAACTCTTAGTGGCCGTCTTGTCACTGATTCAACATGATTTGTACTGAACCAATCACGAAAGAGCCTTAGGAAAAGACAAATGCGAGTTCGTTTTGGATTTTGAAGTCCGCATATTGAAGAATGGTTTAATTTGTCGGTGCAAATGGTCATAGAGACATTTTGCGCGTAATGTTTGTTCTGACAACTATGAAGTGTAATTTACAATTGTACCTTTTGTTTAATTTTACTGTATATAAAAAGAATAGCCACACTTGTAAATTACACTCGTAAAAGTTTTATTAAATTGGCCCCCGGGAATGTACTTTGGCAGGAGCTGTACCTTTCAGTATTTTTATCCCTTGCAGCTGTATAAAGAAAGACAAACGGAAAGAGGAAGAATAAGAAAAGTTAAGATTATTCGTTTGCAGGCTATGTTCTAAGCTAACTCCGGCGAAAACATCTGTAATCAATAAAAAGTCTTTTTTGTTAATTTGCAGCCTAAAAGCTTATAGTTCTAAATAAGAAACTGAAAGAAGATTTTTCCGAGCTCAAAAACGAATGCTGGGACCCAGAATATTTTTAAAATGAAAAAACAAAAGGAAAGCAATCGTTCTCAGTCAGTTACGGTATCGGGGTTTAAATCAAAAGGAATACATCTAATGAGTTCCTTTTATGCATCATGGCAGAACACAAAATAGACTTCTCTTGTAAATAAACATGGTATAGCTGTAGCGTGAGGAGAAAACGTTATTTTGGTAACAGTGTTCATCATAACATCTTATCAAGTAGCAGAAAGAATCGGATTTAGCTTCTTCCTGTAAAACCTATTAAAATTCCACTGTAGTTTCTTCAATCATTTTGCTCTGGCACTGCCGCTAAGGTCACAGTGCAAAAAGGGTAGAACCTCGCATTAACACGTACAATGCCTGCACTTACAGTTTACGTGCACTTTATTCCGGCACTGCCTACTAAATCAAATCAGAGGGGTTGAATGTTGATGATCAACTTTAAAGTTACGTACGATATGCTAAAAGCTGAGTTGGCTAAAAAAAATGCATTTTTTGATTATCTACGTACCTTTTCCGATATGTTTAGCTCGGCCTTTTAACACTAAAATCCCTACAGTTACAGCTAAAAAAGTAAGCAAGACTCCTTCTACCAAAACTGCTACCTTCCAGCAACTTAAACAGGCCGAGCTCTGCTCCACTTCATCGGTGTCTTAAATGTTAAAAATATAACATAAAGGTTTATTATAGAGAATCTTACTTAAGTTTCAGCGAGTCTATCTAGTATTGAGAGTGAAGTTGAAAAGTGTACATAACCGAAACCAGAAGTAACTTTCTTGTTGATAATTTCTAACTTTTTTTATGTGACTGCACCAATGAAAAGAGAAAATTCCAAGCTCACGAGAACGGAGAAAAATACTATCTTCTGCTACTACTTTCAGAAAAATCATATACCCAGACCAGTCAGCTGAAAGCCAATTATGTCGTCCATTTTCATACGGCACCTGCTAGTAAGACACCGGAAGTAATGTCGAAAATAAGGCAGAACCCACACAAACACCTCCTCTACCAAGCAATGTAAGATAGATCATTGATAACTTATACATTTAAGCTCAAATAGAAACCTACCGGTAGGGGGAAGGGTAATTTCGGCAGGCTCTCCGTAAACCCATTTCTGCATATTAAAAAAATAATAGGTCACTTTGGAAGATATTATCAATGTACAAGAAAAAAAAGGAACGAATTTTAAGTCTGTCTTCGACAGAAGACGTTGAGGCTTCCTACGCTGCCGATGCGCGGCGAAACTTCTTTAAATAATGTTGCAAGACCTTCTTTGCAGGAAGTGGCTCAAACGATCGCGCCCCAAATTATTTTCTTACCCCATTAACTTCAGTTGCTGCTCTCACATACACCTTGTACTTTGTCATCGGCTCCAATGGCGCATTCCGATAACAACCATAGATCTCTCCATCACCAAGGACAAACTTTCTTGGAACCTGTTCTTTATCTCGCTCAAATCTGGCAGCAATATAATACTGATCCTCATTGGCCATTGCCTCTTTGTAGTCAACAATGATTTCTGGCAAAGAGGATGTTGACCATTTGCTGACTGTTTCGACCTTTTCCACTACAACTTCATGAGCACTAATTTAATACAACAAAATCATACACATTTAGACGACTTTAACGACGGAGTATAATCTTACGTCTCATTTATTACACCAACAAAACATGTTTATTTAACCGGCAGGGTGTGAAAAAATGAAAAACAGCTGGAGAACTAGAACTACTGCAAATGGAAAAAAGCTAACTTTATCCCTATGTATAAAAAGGATCATGAAACAGACAAATGCAACTATCGCCCCATTTCATTGCTAAGCGTTTCGGGTAAAATTATGGAGTCAGCAGTTGATTGCCTGCGTGCAGACGTCTCCTATTTCCTTTGTTGCACGCGTGCAACAAAGGAAATAGGAGACGTGTGCACGCAGGCAAGCAGTTGATTGCTTCATCTATCATGTCTCACATTTCTGACAGCAACCTTAGTAACCCGCATCAGTGGTCATACAAGAAAGATCATTGTACTGAACATATGACCGAAGATTGGAAGAGAGCACTTGACAACAACATGGTAGTCGGGATCGTATTCGTGGACCAGCTTTTGATTCTATTTCTCATTATGTGCTGCTTCAAAAGTTGCAAGCTGATCGTTATCACGTCACCCTTGTTAATGGCTGGTGTTCTTGCTCGAGTAAAGTTACGCTTGGTGTCCCTCAAGGATCTGAGCTCCGACCCTTCTTATTTTCTCTCTTCTGTAATGATTTGCCAGACATTGTCAGTGACTGTGATGGTGAACTGCATATGTAAGCTGACGATACCACCATGTAACCAATTGACCTAATCCTTAATCCTGACGTGGTAGCCGCCTAACTTAATTTCATTTTGAATAAAGTCACGAACTGGTTTCGAAACATTTTTTTTTTCACGCAACACCCGAGCAAGACAGAATTTATGCCCTTAAAACGACGATGTGACTTAAATAGTCTAAACACGTTTCTGAATGTTTAAAATTGTTCAAACAGAAACTTAACCCGTTGAAATCATTTTATTTTGTACCAGTTGACGCCCTCTTGGACTTCTAAGACAAAGTAACATTACCATTCATTACGTATGGTCTAATTGTGTGGGGTGCAACAAAACATTGTGTGACGAACTTGAACGCATCCACGTAAGAGCTGCTAATATAGGTTGTCTTTACACGAGGCTGTTAAGTAAGACTTAAGAGCTACTAAGTTTTACTTAGCCAAAAATCCGTGTGTGAAGGCCTAAGTAAAATCACAAGTAACTTTACTTTGCATCTCATTAAAGTCGGAAAGTTGAAACGATTCAAGAAAGTTTCAAGCGACTTGAAAACCATCCCTATGATCGACTCAGCTGACTTGCGGCTACTTGCGGTTTCTTGAGCTTTGAGAAAGGCGAAACATGTCAATCAATCTTAATTGATGTTGCGTGGAAAAATAGCCTTAAGTTAACCTGCAGTAAAAAGAGCTAAAAAAAAAGCTTCCTTTTACTTAAAGAACTTACAATTTATTTGTCTTAAAAAATTTCTTTGCTTATTTTGGCTCTAGCGTAAAGACTACCAAGACGTCTTGAACACTTTCAAATGGTAGCCTGCGAACCGAAACTCTCTGTTTGGGGATACGGTGAAAAAATCTTTCCCTTCCCTCTCCTCGCGATTTTTTCACCCTTTCCCCAAACAGAGAGACTGTTTACAGGGTATCAAATAGAAGCCTTTAAAGCATATTTCTCGCACATGTTACTACGAGCGCATGCCCCCCCTACTAAAACACTTATTAGTTAAGCATTAAACCAAATACAGTTTAAAAAATCAATTATGTTTCAACATGCCGACCGCGAAGAAAGAGATAGTCAAGAAGTAAGTTTAAAATATCAGAGCTTCTGTCGAACAATGATGATATGAGAAAAATCACTTGTTAAGAAAATTTAAACGCTGGGTAAAGAAATTGTCTTCTAGATTTTATACAATGCAATCTTTTTGTACTAGCTATTGGTGGTTTTTAATCCAATTTTTATTTTAATTCTTAATTTGATAGTGTTTAAATAAATGCTTTACTTACTTACTTACTAGAAAACTGAAAAATTAGCGTCTACGTAGGATCCAAGATAAATTTTACTTCGCGACGAACTTAGACTTTTAAATAAGTCCTTCCTCGCGACTTTTTCGCTCGCTAGGCCGTGCCTAATTTAAGGAACTAAACAACCAACCATATATAAACATGGTTAAGCTTTGTGTGAATAAGGTATCAGTGCCATATCATTCTAAACGTAGACGACAGAATTATGGAAATAAAACAAATCAGTGCTAGACAAAACTTAGAAAAGCTTTATCGATAAAAAGACCAATATCCTTTGATTTAGACAATACAGTTTCAGGCAGAGCTCGGATCGAAAAAAAAATCAACAGAAAAAAAACACACTGCCGGTCTCAGGTCGGAGACATTTCTCTTGACTTTCGCGACGAGAAACGTCTCTGAAAGGAACGTGGTCAGTTACGAGAATCGGTCTGAGGGAGATCTTTTACATGTACGAGAAGAGTTATCTTTTAGTGACACTGTCACTTTAAGTTGTTACAAGAGTGGTTAAAAACTATGAAACAATCTATCTATTAGACTTACACAACTCTTCCATTGCTATCTGAAGATTTCGTCAAGAAGATTGTCATTTCGGTAGGTTTGATGCTACCTTCGGCAAACTGTGGGAGTGGTGGTGGGGAAGGAGCTGCAAGAGAAAAATGATGAACGTCGCAAACACAAAGGTCATGTAATAGACTAGAAATAAAAATGACCAAGAAGGTGGGGAAGGCTTTATTTCGTGTTCCTATACATATAGCTTTAACCTATTATCATCCGAGTAAAATTATTCCTTGAGCCCGAATGGGCTATTGACTCAGAGACCACGAGGGCGAGAGGAATAATTGTTTTAGTAAAATCCAACTAGTTGGTCAAAAATATCGAAACAAAACAGCTTCAACTAGTTAAAGCTAGACTTTAGTCTTTTTTGCCGCCAAAAAGCCGGCGCTTTTCGCTACTAGTGGGCTATAACATATAGCCTAGTAGTAGCTCAACCAATCAGAACGCAGAATTGATAATAGACCACTAGTTGGATTTAACTAATATAGTCTGAGAAAACAGCCTCCATTTAGATATACCATGAACGATTTCCCCGCGAATTGACGTCTACGGAAGGAGGAAAGAATTTCTATACTGATGCCTTGTCACTACCCAAATCCTGGTAGTGTTACTGATTGGTTAAAAATTTACTTCAACCAACTAGAAGTACTATTTGCTGTTGGAAATCTTTGGATCATATTATTATCATATTTGGCACAAGAACTTTTATCGTCAAACGACATTGAGCTTACACACTGCATGTACATCATGCGGAACTGTACATCTACGAAGGGAAACATTTGGAAGACATGAGATTCAACTTATTTGCTGCTCCCTAATTATTTCGCCTTAGTGTTGGGGAGGTTTTCATGTCTTGATGACCCTGAAAGCTATACCACTTGGGTACGGGTCCCTGGTCGGTTCAAACATGCTGGGCACGTTTGGGTGAAAGGCTAGATGAATTGCAACGCCTGACTCTCCAGATTAACGACTAGGCGATTGGTTAATGTCACATCGCCGGAGAAAGATAGCCTTACTAAAACCAGACACATTTTTCAAGATAACAGAGGCGTAGAAGTGTGGAGACATTGTACGTAACGGAGCTCGAAGAGGCGAGGTAAGGAGGTAACTGCTCTGTTTACCATTTTTTAACAGAATTTTCTTGCAAATAACCTCTGTTTTAAAAGACTTTTACAGGATGACGAGTTACCCTTAACTAGTTTGATCTATCGAACTATTCTCGTCCCCTACTCCAGAAAAAGATCAATACAACGCACACTACGTACATGTATGTCATATTGAAGAGGGGGAGCAAGGGGGGCCCTCATCACGAGTTCACGAACAACAATTTTGCGTTTCACGAGTCACGAAACAAATAAGTTCTTCAATTGATCTTCAATATACGTGTACACAATCAAGGATTTTGGCTTTCCAGGTTTCACGGAGATCACTTCAATCACGATTCACAGACTCAACAGTTTTTCAGTACATTATGATTCACGGACACCAAAACTAGTCGAACACGGCGTCAAGAAAATAAGCTTGCCCCCCCTGAAGGAGTGGGGATTGGGGTAAAGAAGACGGCTGACAGTCTAAGGTATCAGGCTACAAAGTATTGCAACACTGTATAATGACCAGTCAGGGTTTAAACTCGGTGCAACGTCAAAGTGCTATTTAAAACGCTTTGATGATGTTCACTATTACCTTTTGCCAGTGTACTCTTTGTAACAGCGTCACTTGCCGCACCCTCTCCTTTCTCAGTAAACGCCGTAACATATATCGTGTATTTTGTACCGGGCTTCAATTTGCCTTTCGTGATAGACGTATACCGAGACGTTTTAGATTCCACCAGCACTAAATCATCTTTGAAAGAGGTGTTGTAATCTCTTGTTCCCTTACAATGCACCTAAACAGAAAAGAAAAAACAAATCATAGTATAAGATCACGATCACCCCCTACCATTTTTACTCTCCATACCTATAAACCTTTTCACATGACGTCACGTCCACTATGTTGGTGCCAAAATACCAATACGACAGCCCGGGCCTTGCCTCTGTCGCATCCGCTCCACGCAGTCCTTTAAACCATTTGTATACAGATGGTGTATAGAGCGTATGCCACGCAGGCAACCCAGGCCAAGCCCGGTCCAGCAAATTTGTTGTCTCATACAATTCCTGTGGGATTTGAATTCTTTTCTTATAACAACGCTGCTGACCATGTTTTACAAATTTTGTACTCGAACTTGTTCCTAAATGATCAATGGAGAGCGGTTTCAAAGTTCGCAGAAAAAAAAAACGTTGAATGAAAGCTAAGACTGGTTGAGACATAGGAGTGAAAAGGAATGACACGTCTCTAAAGATCCCTCGAGTTAACCAAGACCACAGACTACAAAACGTTAAAGAAGGATGTTCTATAGACCAGTAGAGAACTTAGTCTTCACGAACCGCCCTGGCACGATGCTCCGATCGACACGTGCGAACGGCTTGTTCCAGTTCTGTGCCGTTGCTGTTCATACTGTATGCAGGAAAGCTTTTTGTGTCAGCAAGAGAAGCTATCCAATATAGTGTGAACATAGTATATAATGTTTCCATTAACCATTCGCAATGCCCGTTCCCATGCGTCGCCGACACGGTGATTTGGTTTGTTCCTCTAGTCTCCTCCCGACTCAGAGACGTAAGTGGAAGCGGGACTCTGTTTCAACAAGACGAAAAGGTTCTGCCTTTCTGATTACTTTCCCGGGTGGGGGGTACTTAACAAATGTTTTTTATTTGGAAATAGTTGGTATACTATTTATTGACTTCAAATAAAAAACATGTATGTATGTACAGGGAAGCTCCAACCCCTCAACCCTTTTTAACACCATTTTTCACGAAAAAGGTACGTCTTTAGTATACCTTCTATTGACAAATGGTACCCCTTTCACATACCTTGTTTAGAACGTTGCATCCCTTTTAACTGCTGTAAATGCACTGTCTTTTGAATAGGAATCAATCACAAAAATAGAAAGTTTTCTCGACTTTATAAAGCCATAAAATTCATCTGTTGGCCCTTTTGGGCCCTTTCAGAGACCCAAATAACAGATTTCCCTACCCTTTTATATACTTCAACGAGTGAAATCCCTCTCCTGTCATATACCCGAGGCCTGAAAAAGATACCTCTTTCGGGCGGAGCCTCCACGTATAGGCCATCATAGGGAGTACCCCCCCCCCCCCGGATTACGTCTCTTATTCCATGTATTACTAGTGAAAACAAGCCTTGCCAATAGACCATTCGCTTAGGGTCACAAAGGAGGTATTGCGCGGGGATTGGGTTACAAAAATAGATAAAAGGACATGTAAACATAGTAGGCTGTTTCCACTCACATTGTATTCAGTGATTATTCCATTAGGATTAACTGGTTCTTCCCAAAATACGTTAATATTATCTTCCTCTAACTTGGCCCTGACATTTACCGGCTTACCTGGCACTAAAGGTTAAAGAAAATTGACAGATAAGAATTTGATGTAATATTTAAGCAATAGAACACGTTTTCTGTGTTTGCATAGCCTGGTATAAACACGAGAGGGGTTGGGAGAATTCGAGACAGTTATGCAAACCCTCGACTTCGTCTCGGGTTTGCATAACTGTCGAGGATTCTCCCAACGCCT